TCACAACTCGAATAATATTATCTTAACCTGGATGGGTTTTAATAATTCGTGCTAAATGCCACTTTAAAGGAGAGAGTTATTCGATTTTTAGGAATCTCTGTAAAATTAAGTTCAATGCAATTAAAGATGAGCCAATAAGAAAGTGAGCAGGTGTCAATGCCTCTACATCATTTGGATCATTTGATATGGGACAAAGAGGGCGAGAATTAAGTACAGATTCAATTTGAAAAATTAGAGTAAAAAATTGTTCATAAGTTAGACTTGATTTTCCCACCACATGTTTCAAGTGATATTTAAGGGATTTCACACTAGTTTCCCATAAACCTCCAAAGTGAGGATTAGAGGGACGATTAAAATGCCAATTTATGCCTTCAGTAGCCAAATAACCTTTGATTTTTCCCTCCCTTTTATCCTTAAATTAAGATTTTGGAATCGCTGTTAATTCGCTATGAGCACTCACAAAATTTTTTCTATAATCACTGAAAATATCTGAGGGTTTACCTTGCCTGGCAATAAAGCGTTTAAGTACTGCACTTGTTAAATCATTTACAATCTCAAAGTGCAAGACTTTCGTAGTGAAACATACAAAAATATGTACAAATACTTTTCTTACCTGTTTACTTCTACCTAGAAAATTTTTTACTAGAAATGGACCGCAGAAATCGAGTCCTGTTCTAGTAAAAACTCTTGATATGGTCACTCTCGCAGCTGGTAAATCAGCCATCTGTTGCTGCGCAGACCTAGAATTTACCTTTTTATAAATCATACAATTAAATATAATTTTTCTAATTACATTTCTTGTAGAAACAAGCCAAAATTTACTCCTTATAAGTGATAATGTTGTTTCAGCACCTGCATGAAAATAAAGAACATGAAAATGATAAATCACAATTACAGTAAAATTATGTTTAGTTGGCAAAATCATAGGATGTTTTCTCAATTCACTTCAATCACTGTTTTTCAGTCTGCCACCCACTCTGAGTACTCCATCATGATCTAAAAATGGACACAAGTTCAATAGTTTACTATTATTAGGAATAGGAGTACCCTTCTCTAAGCACTTGACTTCTGTCAAAAATGAAGTCCCTTGAGCGTTTTTCACAATACACAATAACGCATTAGAAAGTTCACTGGTTGTCAACCTTCCGCGTGTAGCATGCAATGGATGCCTGGTGCTATGCAAGAATCTCTTGCACCAAGCCACTACTCTTAGCAATTTGTTGTAAGATGAACACTTATTGATGACATCTAATGGCTCAGAAGTGTTAATAAGTGCACATATTTCACTTACTACTAGTGGTTTTAATTCGCGAAGATACAGTTCTACGAACTCCTCAGGGATATCATCTTGCCACTTAGTCATCACAGTTTGAAGAAGAAATGAGGGACCACACCAACACAGTTCACACAGTTGAAGTTTGACCTAATCAGCACCTCTTGATATGAGATCCGCAAGGTTCTGTTTAGATGGGACGTGATGCCACTGTTGCACCTCTGTTATTTCTTGAACCACCGCAACTCGATTAGCAACAAACGTTTTCATACAACAAGGCTCCTTTTGCAGCCAAGCCAAGACTATTATAGAGTTATTCCAGAAAAATACATTATTCACATTAAGTTTCAGAGCAGATATTACTCGAATCATTAACTTCGCAAGCAATACAGCTGCCATACCAAAACAAAATTAGGTGAATTTGAAGTACCACAGGAAGATTTTCTGTAATCAATGCCGATTTTATAGGACCACTTCTCCCACTCAAAGGAAATATTTACTGTCTTACTTGCATTGACAGGTTTACAAATTGGATGGAAGCAATTTCTTTAGGTAATATTTCAGCTGATACTGTAGCAAGTCTTTTACAGCAACCGGGCTGCATGTTTTGAAGCGCCAAACAAACTTGCTAATGATTGTTGATCCCAAGCTTTGTCCAAAATCTGTGGTATCAGTTTGCAACATACTACTGCCTACATCCATCGTGTAATGGCAAAATTGAGTTTCCTAGAACATTAAAAACAACATTAAAAGCTCACAATAGTCTGTCTTGGACCGACGTATTACCAACAATACTTACGGGTTTGCATACTACTATTCAACAAGATACAAATCATTCTGTTGCGCAGGTAGTTCATGGCCAGAATCTCAGATTTCCTGGAGAGTTTTTTAATTAATTAAGTATCCAAGACAGCATCGGAGACCTTTACTCAGGGTTAAGCAGAAGGCCTAGCTCATTCCGTTGTACGACTCCTCGCCGACGCGATCTTCATAGGAGGAGTTAACAGGAAGTGGTATGACGTCATTATGTTGCATCTGCTCTAACTTCACTTCTTTAAAACTAGAAATGTGGACATCCCAACTTAATTTTAATCACAAATATTGTTTTCTAGTAAAGCAGTGTCAAAGATAAGCTGGCGAACCCCGAAGTAATTTTATGCTGCCTGCGAATACATTTCCTGTAAATTAATTAGCTTTATTATGACAAGAATTTGAAGAAAATGTTTAAGATTTTAATGGTCTGGAGTTCAGTTTTATGTTATATTCATTACCAAAAACGCAGGTAACTCTTCAGAAAATCTAGAAATAGAGCTAATTAATTTCCACTGTGATATAAATCTTGTTCAAAGATTTTAAGATACAGTATAAAGTCTTTAATCCGGACCTCAAAGCTACAAACTTTCTGCGCATGCGTAAACGCATTAACGGACGGTATAAGGTAGACTAAAATTATCTAATTATCTATTTCAGTTAATGTTGCAGATTGCGTTGTTCCTTAATCTTCTAATTGGATCCGGCTTATTATTTTTTGCAGAGTGTTAGAGCAATTTTATAAAAGTAAGCTTGAACTTTCGATTATGTCAAAAAAAGTTTCCAATTCTGGAGCAAAGCGAAAGCATGTTTCGATGTCCATAAAACCAAAAGTGGAATTGCTGCAAAAAATGGGTAAAGGCATGAAGAAAGTGATAGAGAGGTGATTTGCTTCTCTAACTATTCCGAAATCTGTTTATCAATTTCAGACTGCTCTGCGGAGGGGGAGGGGGGGTACGTCGCGGCGCGCAATGAACTGGAAGTTGATCTGTCAGCACTATCCTTATCTTCAGGGCAGATGTTTTTATTTTATTCGGCTTATAATTCCTTACTAAATGTAGTATTTCATCTCGATGTACTCCGTCTTACGAACTTCGCGGCGCGCAATGAACTGGAAGTTGATCTGTCAATACTATCCTTATCTTCAGGGCAGATGTTTTTATTTTATTCGACTTATAATTCCTTACTAAATGTAGTATTTCATCTCGATGTACTCCGTCTTTGATATGATTTAAATCAAATTCCTTGCCATTATAAATATCACGAATACACATCAAATAGTTTTCTGGTTGCAATTTTCTAATTTCGACTATGCGTAGTGTATGCTTTACACATGCGCGCGTTGAAAGAAATGTTTAATGAAGTAAACAAATAAATATTAAGCTTTTTTTTTTTTTTTTTTTTGTAAATTTTGATACCCTTTAGATCATAGTTGCTCTTTATTTCATAAATTACGGTTTCATATTTTTAATTTTATAATTTCTGCATGCCATCTTACGAGATTTAAACTGATGATCTATAATCCGGAAAAACCGATAATCCGGAATCGCCGAAGTCCCGACGAGTCCGGATTAAAGACTTTTGACTGTATTTGTAAAAATTCATCTTTACACAAATTTGTACATAAAGACTTAATAAACTGTTCTCATATGTTTCATCAAAAAGATCATGTGGAAAAACTTTTGAAACCTCTTTATGAAGGACTATACCCTATCATTGATTGCAAAGATAAATATTTTGCTATTAGCATAAAAGAAAAAGATGTCAGTGTATTCCTCAATCGCTTGAAACCAGCTCATGTTTTAGTTCATGAGAATTGTCAGTTATCAAAACCTGACCACAACAAATTGCAGGGACTGCACTCAGGTCTAAATGTGGATCAAAAACATTCTCGCACAGGCAGAACTATATGTTTACCTGTCAGTTTCAAAGATTGTATTTAAATTCTTCAGACAATGGATTAATTCTCTAACAATGGTTAACATTGCAGTGCTAATCACCACCTGTTTCTCAACCTTCATAAGGTAACTTAGTTACTTGTGGGAGAGTATAGTGGTTCAGTTAATTGCACAAGTACTAATTATTTTCAATTTCAAGTACTTTATATTTTTGCATGTGTTTAATTATTTTGTAAAATAAACTTTAATTTCTTGTTAATATTCATATTTATTTATTTTGCTGGATGGCAACGAGTAATTATTCTTTATTATTTTATTTTCAAATTTCGATTCTATTCTTTAACTATAAAGAGCACCTCATTTCGCTAGCTAAAACTTAAAAGCAGTAAACTTAGCTATTCTGTAGTGATTCTTGCTGTTCCTAAATTGTAATTCAATTTGAATACTGGTATTCAAAGGCTATAATATAATACTGTCTGACTACAAATAGCTTAACCCTGGTGGACCAAAAGATTAAGGCCCCTTGGGAAAGGATATCAACTAGATAAATGTGCATCTAAAGGTAATGTAGAAATGTATTTAAATGACCTAATTACATCATTCTCCTATTCTTTAAGTTATATGTATAACTTATATACATTATATATATACATTATTATATACATATATATATAAATTTAAACAAATTAAATTTAAATTTTAACAGACACACACACCCACACACACACACACACATATATATATATATATATAGTGTATAAAAATCGCTCACACATGAATCACATCGATCCTCCTTAATAAATCCTTTATAAATCAGTCCAACTCTTGTGTGAATATTTATGCTCATAATCATGGTGTTCATCCAGTAATTCTTTAATTTCTTCTTCTGCATTATATTTGTGCATTGAGTGCAATGTTATTAAACAATATTCTTCCAGTTTTTAAAATAAATTAATTTTTCAATTACGTTTGTTTATGCAAATCATTTAGTTTATGTAATTATCTTTATTTTGTTGCAGGCAAGAAGTTTCTTGACTACCTCATTTGGACCATCATACATAATTCATGAAGTGTAAATTATAGTACATTAAATGCCATGGACGCACAGCACAAACTCAAGTGGTCATTGTACATAACACTTGCATCTTTATTTATTTTTTTATCCGTAACAGAATTAGGGCATTTTTCATCTGCAAAGAAATCATTGTTTCCAACTCAGATTCCAGAAACTTCTGATAAACATGTGATTGTCTTTGATGGGGGTAGCACTGGTACAAGGATACATGTGTTCAGTTTTGTAAATAGTTCAAGTAAGTTTATGTACTTTTGATATTCTGCAAAGTGTTCAAAAATATCTTTTGTTATACTTATTACTTTTAGGTAAAGTTTTTATGCTAAGATATCAATGTGACTGAGCAGTATAATATTACTTAAATTATACATATCATGAAATAAGTATTTTGAAACATATATGAAAAAAAGGAAAGAAAATGTGGACCGGGAACTTCAGATTGCAGTCTAACAACTTAAAAAAGTCTACCATTAAAAATTCAAAAATAAGTGGGAAAGATAAAATATGCTGAAAACTTTCATAAAAATTATCATTCAGATATACAGTGAAGCACAATTTATGTGTCTCATTTTTGCATCTTTTACATTTGCCTATATGTTGTTCCAGCTTGGCACCAGTTTATTCCTGTTCATGCTAATGATAAAATATTTCATTTGAATGATGCATAAATTTGGTTATATGGTGTTTCCCCAATTTGTTCATCAAATTTCCTTTCACAGTCTCGAACATATTTTCTTAAAATTAGTTCTTTCTTTCAATAGTATATGGAAGTTATGTACGAGGGCAATCCCCAAAAAAAGATCTCCTATATTTTTAGATATTCAAAGAACTGTTTATTTTCTATAATTGCTATATCACTTTAAAGATTGAAGAATGCTTTATTTTTCAACATAATCGCCATTTCGCTCGATGCATTTTTGTAGACGCTGTGGCAGTTTTACAATGCCCATGTCATACCAGCTTGCCGCCATGCCCCTTCAGGAAGCGTCGATCGAGTCCAAGAAGTTGTCCTTTTCGTTTCCATAGAGGCAAAGAAATTCGCGGGATGAATCAACCCGTTGCCGTTTGTGGTCTTCTGTCAGCATACGCGGCACCCATCTTGCACACACCTTCCAATATTGCAACTTTTTCGTTAAAATCCTGTGGATGGTGCTTCTGGAAACCTCAGGAACCAAAATGCAGAGAGCATCCCAGAGCGATCCTCCGATCTTTACGCATGAGTTCCTCAACTTTCGCGATTGTCTCGTCGGCAATTGATGGCCACCCGCTCCTTTCTTCGTCATGAATTTCAGTACAACCTACTGTAAACTCTCTACACCACTTGCGAATGTTTTTGACATCCATGCACGACTGTCCATACACTTCCGTCAATAGGCGGTGAATTTCAACCGGTTTAACACCTTTTGCATTCAAAAATTGAATAACTGCGCGCACTTCACACTTGGCGGCAATGTTTATCGGGAGCTCCATTTCCAATGGCTGCCAAGCCAAGACTGAGCATCCGAGCGAAGCGCCTGCGTGCTTCTGTGGTAGCGGAAAAGGCACCACTCACAACAGTGTTGCCAACAACCGTATTAAAACTTTCTGTACGTCCCCCCAAAATAGAAGACCTTTTTTTTGGGATTGCCCTCGTATTAGGGTATGAGGGGTGGCTTATCAGATAACACTTAAAGAATTTTTCTTTGGATGGTGGTGAAAGCAGCTGAAATAAATCTGTGGCTGCTCTCATTATTATGTTAAGAGTTATGCAGCTTAAATTTGTATAATTTTAAAAAGGAAGTAGGTTAATTTTTGTAAAAATCGGGATGGTTCTTTAAACAAATTAAATCAGTATGTTAAAATTAAATATTATAACAGTATTATGCACACACACACAAATATATATATGTCCACCTGGTCAGCAACACATTATGTAACTTTTGGCCTGCAAAACAGCTGCAATTCGCCTTGGCATGGATGCTACAAGTTCTTGGTAGATGACTGGAGACAGGTTGTACCAAATGTCTAAGCAGCGGTCATGCAAAGTCGAGATATTCCGATATGGTGGTGTCTGAGCTGCCTCTCCATGACTTGCCAGATGTGCTCTATCGGGTTAAGATACAGCGAGTTAGGTTGCCAGGACATTAACTGGAATTCATCCTTATGCTCCTTAAACCACTTCAACATGATTCGATTAGATCGCTTAACATCAGCAGCCTTTCCCATCACTCGCAAAAGTAAGGGTAAGAATGATTCTTTACCTTCTCCAACAACAGTTAAATACCATTCCCACTTAATCACATGCCCTCTATGTCACCCAGACGAGTTAATTGAAAAATCTGCAGATGGTTGTAATGTTTTGGCTTGCCAGAGTAGTTGTAGGATTCAGCTAAAATATGCATATTAAATACTTAAACTGAAATATAATTTGTAATTTTTTCGTTCATATGCCTATTTTGAGTGGTTCATTACTGTATTACTGTATTATAAATCAAATTTTAATTATATACTAATTAAACACATAATTAAAAACAATAAAATATTGATTATTGGGTTGCTAGATAAATGCATTTTCATAAAATTCTGGGTTGCCTAGATTGGTGCCTTAGTGTTTTGCCGAGTGATTCTTGTCCAGGTTGAGATGATAATTAGAGAGTACCTTAATTTCTTGTATGGCTCTGAAAATACTCTTATTTTCTAGAAATTTTGTAATGCTAACAAAATTGCCATTCAGTATGAATGCATTTTAAAGTGTTTGTCATTGATTTTTCATAGGTGGCCTTTTAATTCTTAAAGATGAATACTTCGAAGAAGTTAAACCAGGTCTTTCCAATTTTGCCAATAAACCAAAGAAGGTATGTTGTTTTAAATCTTATGTTCTTCAAGCATGAATACATGGAATTTAAGGTAGTTTCTTAACAGAGTTTTTGAATATTCTTAATAAGATTCAGGAACATACTTGTAACAGAAGATTTTAAACACATTTTTTTCTTCTGTTTTAATAACTGAAAATTTTAGTCATATCGAGAAAACCATGTAAACTTTTCTGTAGGTTTTGAAAGTTTCATAATCATCTGAGTGGTATGGGTTTTCACTAAGAAAGCCTGAATTTTCCAAAACTTGTGCAAGAAAGTATTTTCTTGATTTTAATGCCAAAATGCCCCTGGTACTGTATTTGGATTCATTTACTTTTAATATATTGCTTTAATTTTTTAGACATATTTCAAGATGCACATACACATACTTTTGTAAAGATGTCACAAAAGTATTCTAATCTTTAAATAAATATATATAATTTATTTACTAAAGAAATGTTGATTATATTATCTCCTAAGATTAATTTTAGTAGAATTACCTTAAAAGAGTGAATCCATAGTTAGTAAGTTCAGTTTCGAAAATTGTTTTAAAGTAACTTGAATGTAAATTGTTAAAAATGTTTAATGGGGACTTGAATTAAATCATGAATAACAAAATTTCAATTGTAAAAAGAAATAAATTAAAAGCAAGTAATTAAATTAAATGCAAGTAATTATTGCCATTGCTCGATTTTACACCAAGTGAATTTAAGATCATACAACATTTAATATATATATATATATATATATATAATATATTAAAGTTGTATGATCTTAAATTCACTATATATATATATATATATATATATGTGATAATTTAAATGCGTAGATGACACTGGTACTTTTAGCAGCCTGCAGTAGTCATGCCTGAAGATGGGTATTTTGATGTGCTGCAGCTTGAAGTCTGCATAGTTGGATAGATGGATGCATAAACCAAAAACTTACTGATGTGTCCAACACCCCACTTAATAAAGTAAACAAACAAATATTAAGCTTTTTTTTCGTAAATTTTGATACCCTTTAGATCATAATTGCTCTTTATTTCATAAATTATGGTTTCATATTTTTAATTGTATAATTTCTGCATGCCATCTTACCAGATTTAAATTGATGATCTATAATCCGGAAAAACCCCTAATCTGGAATCGCCGAATATCAGCGAGTCTGGATTATGGACTTTGTACTGTATATGTATATATTTGCCAATCAGAGGGTTAAATACATTTTTTTAAATTAAAATTATAGTTTCTGAATAATTTGATTTTCATTCCCAAATTGATAATGAAATAATATAATTTTTTGAATCAGTTGGCCATTTTGAATTGTCTATTTAAGATAATATCATCTATTGGAGTGGCCTCAAACCAGGGGCCAAATTTATTTGGCCTTCAAATACATTTTCTGTAAATTAATTAAAATTATTTTAACAAAAATCATTAAAAAAGTGTAAGATTTTAATGCTTTGAAATCCAATTTTATGTTATTTTCATTACCAAAAATGAAGGAGGGTATTTCTCCAGGAAATCTAGAAAGAGCTAATTAATTTGTACTGTGACATAAGTCTTATTCAAATGCTTTAAGAAACAAATTTAATTAACTTTTATTAGCACTTGTCAAAAGATAAATATCCTTAGGTGCCAATTTTTGCAATAAAAATAATTGCTTTGTTTGAGAGTACATTTACATGTGAACAGTTTTTCTTTTCTTTTTCTTTCATTCATTCTTTCTTTCTTTTTTTTTTTTTTTTTTTTTTTTTTTTTTTTTTTTTTTGTATTAAAAAATTCTACCAAGAGAGCCAGGCTGTCGATGAGTATCTACAATTTGTGATGATTTTATTGTCTAGCAGTTTTCCTCCAAGATAACTAACTTTATGCAAACTGAAACACGATGAAGTGTAGCTGAGAGGTGTAGTAAGAAAAAAGGAAGGCTATTAGGAAAGCAAAACATCTCAAAAAATTTAAAGAAAGAGAATAGGTTCTCATTATTTATTCTCATGTTTTTTTTCCTTTTTATGACATTTTCATATATTTCTTGTTAGTTTATATTAAAAGTAAGTCATTAGTGGTTGCTTCAATATATTGCAATTCCTTGAATAAATGTCAGTCTGAAATTTTAATATTTAGCTGTTAATACATTTGAATTACAAATTGTGACCAACAGAAATTTCTTGCATATACCAACTTTTAGATTTCTGGCAGAAAATGAGTATAAATCTGAATTTTTCCTTCCATTATTTTCATATCTATATTTTATCTATTTTTATATGTATGTTTAATATTTATGTATAAGTAAATGATACAAAAATAATACTTAATAAATTTAATATTATTTAAATTTATTTAATTTAAAATTATTTAAATTTATTATTTAATTTTTAATAAAATTTTAAAGAATAAATTATTTAATTTTTAATAAGAAATTTAAATAATACTAAATAAAGTAAAAATATTACTTCATAAATTTTGTCTTGTTAAATACATTTTTTTTTAATTGTGGCTCATCAGCTACTTTCATATTGTGCATTTGGCCTGCATGTAGTTTGAGATCACTGATCCAATTAATTGAGATTAGGGCATATGGAAAGTAGTGAAATTTGGAACTTTTAGAAGGAGGAACTTAAAGGAAAAATTCTCGTTATTGAAATCAAATTTCCTTTCCAGTTCGTCACTGTGTCAGATATCAAATATTATAATCTCACTCTCAGCTGTTGATTGTATGTATAATTTCATTGTGATAAAGTATAGGTAAAAAATACACGTAGTTAAAAGTGTCATGAGATAATTGTGCTAATGAGCCTAACTGTAAAAAATTCCTTTTTATTTTAATTCAGTTAACATAAATAAATACTAGATTGTGTTTGTTACTTTTATTTAACTTATGAACTAGGTATAATAGTTTAACTGAAAAATATGTCCCAAACAGTTTAAAAAAAGAAGAAGTGTATTCTAAGAGATGAAGAATGGGTAAATTAATCTTATAAAATGTTACTGTTTGTAGAACTTTTGTTTACTAAGAGATGAAGAATAGGCAAATTAATCTTATAAAGTGTTACTGTTGTAGAACTTTTGTATAAACTAAAGTTATATGATATAAAATAGATTTTTAATATTAAATGGTTGATAAATTTTTAGCGTTTGCTTGATTGCAATTATGTTCAGAATTAGTGTTATAGTTTATCTTCAAACATAATATTATAACAAAACTTACTTGAAGTTGACTTTGCGTAATTTTACATAGCGTAATTCAATGTTTTGCCTTTTTATTTGAGTATCAATATACTAGAATTTCAGACCATCCAGAGCAATCAAACTGTAAGGGGATTTTAAAAATCTGGTAAAAATAACTTTTGCTTGAAATTAAAAAGGTAATGTTTCTTTGTCTTCACTGTATACTTGCATTTAAATATATTCCCTTAAAATATATTTTATACTTAATTTATGTTTGTTTATTTTTTAATAGGCAGCAAAAAGTGTTTTTCATCTGTTAGAAAAAGCGAAAGCTTTTGTTCCTCCTAATAGCTGGGATCAAACACCTATTACTTTAAAAGCTACTGCAGGTCTTAGGTTGCTACCCAGTTATATGTCAGATTCCATTTTAGAAGAGGTAAGTAATGTGAACAAATGTGATAATATGAAAAATGAACTGAGAAATCAGAAATCTGTATCTACTGTATTTTTTCAAAAATAGAAGATTCAAAAGATAAAAAAAGATATGATTTTCTGCTTACTTAAATTTTAATGTTTATTAAAAAGAATTTTTTTTAAAAATTCTGAATTTTCTTGTTCTTCAGTGTATTTTCAGATTTTTAAATCATAGGTTAAAATTGTTAGTTGTGATTATGTAATGGCATAGATTATATCAGAAATATACAGGGTAAACCAAAAGTCCATTAACCTTTGAAAATTCAATAATTCACAGAATAATGTAGCTAGAGAGGCAAAAATTGACACACATGCTTGAAGTGACATGGGGTTTTAATGAAAACTGGCTAAAACATGTCACTGTGCAGCAAAATGTCAGTGATGCTGCATGAGAATCATGTATGAAAGGAGTGGTAATGAGAAAGGGAATCTGTCCTTTCATGACTTTGCCACTTTTTTATCCTCAACTCTGGGTATTGGCACCATGTGATGTAGACTTATCACATCAGTTGGGATTGGACCCTTTTTCTTGGAGCAAATGCTTGGTTCTGCTATTCTAACTGTCAATGTGACAGGTGCAAGGTGCGCTGATATGTTACAGAATCGCATCATCCCTATTATGGCTGATAAACACCTGTTGGAAGGTATGACTTTTATGCAGGGTAGCACTCCACCCAGTATTGCTACATGTGTGAAAGATCTCTTGCACACATTGTTTGGTGATAATCGCATGCTTCTGTCATGCTTGGCCACTCAGGTTTCCAGATTTCAATTCCTGTGATTATTGGTTGTGGGGTTACTTAAAATCTCAAACCTACCACAATCGTTTGACCTCATTAGCAATGCTAAAAGACTATATCTGATGGCAATTTCTCGCCATGTGCTGTACAGTGTTCACAACATTATCCCTTAACTACAGACTTGTTGATGAATACAAGTTGATGATACAGACAGTTGATGAATGACAGCTGACATGTTGAACAGTTGTTATGAAGAATATAGTTTTTGCTAAAAATCAATTGTTATTAACCCAAAGGAGCAATTTGCCCAGAAGCACTATTAATTTCATTTTGGCATTTTGCACTGATTCACTATAAACGGTGTTTCACTTTCCAAATTGTTGCCATGAAATATTAGAGCCCTGCATTATATTTAAAGAAATTAAATAATGAAGAATCTGTTTGAATGTATTCTTTCACAGTGAAAAAACAGTGGTACCTAGAGACATCAAATTTTGAATACCGTAGTCCTCCACTCGAATATGGGCATCTGGAAGCTCAAATTTCAAATTTGTTTTATTATCTAGTTCCTATTTTGTAAAACTTTTTAAACCAAATTAAAACGAATTTAAAATGAATTTTTGGTTAATAAACTTAAGGATTTCGAAATGAGCAATGGCAACTCTGTACGAAAAAGAAAAACATTTTTATCTCCAGTGTGCCAGACTGTATATCAGAAATTCTAAGGATATGGTCTTTTTAAACTATTTTTTGATATTTCTATTCAATTTACTTTCATAGTTTAAGTGCAAAGAATATGATATTTAATAAAAAAAGGTAACACACAAAACGTTGAAAAAACGCCCCTTTGGGCATAATATAAAATTTGAAAGCTTACAGACTTCTTTAAAATTTTTTTTATTTTTCTTTTGCTAATTATTGCTTTTGTTATCATATGACACATCATCTTCTGGCTGTTTTAAACACTTTTTTGTTGACTTTCAGTAAAACCCGATGACATTTCAAACATATGTGTTAGTTTTTACCTCTCTACCTACATTATTCAGTGAATTATTGAATTTTCAAATGCTAACGGACTTTTAGATCATATATTTTCATGTAGCATGTGATAGATATTTTCTCACTGATTTGAGTTTTCTTTTAATGTATGCATATGCCGATGTCTATAGCTATATTTAAAGCAATAATTTTGTCACATGAAAAATGATAAAGTTTGGGGCTCAGTCATGAAGGAAATAGCAAAGTTTCATGAATTTTCTCGGCTATTGACAATTTCGCAGAAACCAAAGATTTCTTATAGCATATAAAAAGAAATGTTTCTCAAATAAAAAGCAATAAAGCAAATAATTAGTATATAGCTAATTATTGTACTGTGTCCAAAACTACAAATCTACAAAACAGTGAATTCTTGATTCAGGATGCTTCAAATCCAGCCATGTCAATCTTTTTCTGACTCAGCCCAAAACAAAATATACTCTTCCCTCTCATTTCACATTCAATCTTTATTTCTCACTCCTTGGTATAAGTATAATAAGGTTGAATTTGTGATTCTTCATTTATAATTTTTTTAACTAAAATAATCATGTGATTTATACTGGGAGTACAAATAGGTCTCCACCATTTTAAAAAAGTGGCACCACCAGTAAGTTATGGTTAAAATTGTCTGATGTGAAATGTCATATCTGAAGATTGGACATCTGCTAACAACATAACCTTTAAATATTAGTGATTTTATATCAGCATCATATGTTGCTTTCGTGCAAAAATGTTGAGTTGTGAGGTGAATGAACATCATTTGCGGGGATGGGGATGTTAGATGTACTTCTTTAATTTACAGAAATCAGCTGCTGAGGCACATCAGTCGATTGTAGAAGCATATGATAAGGCTGCCTTAAGTGAGAGAAGTTGTCATGAGTAGTTTCAAAAGTTTAAGAATGGTGAATTTGATGTCGAAGATAAAGAACATAGTGAAGGGATGAAAGTGTACAAACATGCGGGATTCGCAGCATTATTGGATGAAGATTCATGCCAAATGCAAGTAGAACTTGTCCTTAATTAGGAATGACTCTACAAGCAATTTTGCATGATTTAAAATCATTGGGAACGTTTAAAAAGCAAGGAAATTGTGTTCTATATGAGCTGCAGCTGTGAAAAATTGAATGTCAATTTTTTACATGTGAAATACTGCTCACCAGGCATAAAGGGTTTTTTTTCCATCATATAGTCACTGGTTATGAAAAATGGATCCACTATGATAACCAAAAGATGAAGAAATCATGATGACCACCTGGCCATGCTTCAACATTGACAACATTTAGAATATTCATGGAAAAAAAAATCATTTAATGCATATAGTGGGATCAATCCTGCTTTATGATTTGCTCTATTCAAACAAAACAGTTACTCTGGCTCTCTACCAAATACAGTTGATGAGATTGAGCTGAATACTCAAAGAAAAATGTCCCCACTATACTCCAGACATGACAAAATTATTCTCCTGTATGATAACGTCATCCACATGTTGCAGTGCTTGTGAAAACCTGCTTGGAAACACTTAAATGGGTTTTCCCCTCCCTGCTGTATTCACCAGACATTACTCCTTTTGATTATTACTTGTTTTGATTGATGATGCATGGTCTGTCTGAGCAGCACTTCACATCATATGAAGATACCAGAAATTAGGTTGATTTGTGAATAACATTGAAAAATGAAGCACTCTTCCGGCGAGGTATCTGTATGCTGTCAGAAAGATGGAAAAAAGTAGTGGCTAGCAATAGACAGTACTTTCAATAAAACATAATGTACTGTTCTTTCACAATAAATGCCCAAATTTTTGGTAAAAAATGGCAGAAACTTATTTGTACTCCAGATAATGCATTTGATCTTTAAGATCAAGTGTAATGGTAGTTAAAGATTAGATTTCTGAAAGGTTTTTTTTTCTCTTGTTAATTTATTGTTGTATATTATACTAGTTACAAAAGTTGTTTTAAAATATAATCTTAAAAAAAAATGATGAACTATATTGATGGTACCAAAGAAGTACCAAAGCCCTAAATTATGATAGAAAGTCATTTGCATTAAAAAATGCCGTATAAAAATGGAAGTAAGCCGACTATAAAAATGGAAGTAAGCAGTTTATCTGCTGATTTATCATTTGTAATGGGACTATACTAATCAGTTCAAAGCATTAACTCTGCCTTCTTTTGCTTATGAAAGTGAGTGTAAAAGTGCTGTTATAAAGAAATGTGAGAATATTTCCAGATTGAGCTCACTTGGGAATAAAATAACTAAATGTTCTTTCTGCAGTTCGTTTATGAATAATACAGTTGAAGCTGAAATTGGAACCAGCTAACTTGATACTAACCCTTGCAAAACTTTTTTTTTTTAAGTAAGGAAAACAAATTTAAATACCCTAAAAGTGCTTGCTTTTCCAAAAATTAAGTTGTTGCTTCTACAGAATAGTTGTGATGTATTCATCTGAATAAAATGTGCATTAAAAATATGTAAAATTAAAAAAAAGTGCTTAGAAAATGCATATGAATAGAAACAGCAAAAGATGTATATTTATGGATGGCCTGTCTGGAGGAGCTGATGCTGATAGTTCATAAATTACAGAAATTCTAGCTGTGCTGTTACATCAGATAAAATCTGCATTTCAGATGATGGTAGGTATTTTGACACATTATATTTTACTCATGCAGATTTTTATCATCTAATAATATATTTTTTAATTTATAGAGAAGATAATTTAGCATAGACAAAACTTGTAGATACTGGCATACAATGGATGATGACTTTATATCATCCCTAAAATGTAGTCATCTCTTTCTGAATTGTTCAGTTCTGCCAAAAAACTAAGAGGCAATTCAAGCTTCAATTTTCTGGTTTGAATTCTGTTACAAGATTACTTTGCAGTTTAGGTTTGGTATAAATTCTTGATGAATGCTAAATGATTTTAATGAAATTTTTCATCATATTTTTCATTTGATATTGTAATTTTTAAATTAATTAAATAGGAAAAAATGAACAAAATGTGAAAAATTCTGAATTTTCTCAGCTTTCTTTTTGACATTCACATAGCATTTTAATATTTGTGAAGTTTCTGAAACTCTCCTAAAATTGACTAAGTATTATCATGAAAATTTTTGCTCCAATAAAATTACTGGTCTGGGTTATTCATAGATAAAGACGTCTAATATTTAATAAATGCAGTGTCCTTCCCTTTGGGATGAATCATTGAAAATTTAATATTTTTAAAATGGAACCAGATGTAAACCGAAAAATAAATTCCTTTCTCTTGGATGAATGGTTCTACTTTTTCTTTTGAGAATCATACTTGTATGAAATTCTAATAATTTTATTGTATGTTAGTTTCTTGTTGTTATTAAAGTCACTGTGATTATAAATCAACTTTTTCTGCCATTATAAATCACTGATGCATTTTGATAATAAGCTTAATGGTTAGAATTTTTATGCCTTCCAAATTCTGGTTGATTAGTTATTACAATTACCTTTGTATTTATGACTAGTCTAATCTGTATGATTAGAAAAAATTAAAACAATATTTTTTGTAATTCTTGTATGTAGAAAAATTATCTTGTGGAATGATTATCTTTGTAACTTATTTCTCGCATTGCAATATTGCTCAATGTGATGAAATTTTCTCATCAGTTTGGTAAATAAAATTCCATCTGGTAATACGAGAGTTCTCTAGTACCCATGTTTTTTTCTTTCTTTCTTTCTTTTTCTTTTTTTTTTTTTAATTTTTGTATGTAATGGGTCTCTGGTTAATATTCTTATCTTTTACTAATCTTTAATAGCTCTTAATATATAAAACTGTCTTAAAAGTGTTTTAATTTGTATGTAATATGATGAAAAATGTAAGCATAGGAAAATGTGTGTATTATTTAATGGTATTCTTATTTAAAAGTGTATTTTTTTCCAGTATAAAATTTAATCAGTGATCTTCAAAATTTCTCTTTTTAGGTTTCAAAAACATTTCACAATTCTCCATTTCTTTGTGATAAAAACTGTGTTTCAGTATTAGATGGGGAAGATGAAGGTATGTTTCTCATTTTGTTACACATAATGTTTAATTCATAGGAAAGAAGGTTTAGCGTTTATTAGAGGAGGGATAGTGATTTCTTTTGCATTAATAAAGAAAATAATGAACAGTGGCAATTACATTGTGTAATATTATTACATTGGTAGTGAAACAAAAATACTAGTTTGGTTATCTGAATGGAGTGTAAGTTACTCAAGCGTTGTCAGTTTTTGGGTGAATTTAATGAATGGTTTTCTTTTTATGGCTTAGGAAGAAAGTTTTAAAATTGCACAAAAAAAATGAAAACCCGGGAAAACTGTAATGACTGATTCATGGTTCTCGTTTCATATAATTTTTTTTTGCTAAGCTTTCAAATTATTTTTTCATTTCTTGCTGTTTTCATTTCAGCATAACCTTTTTGCTGAAATTGTTTCAACATAACCTTTTATATAAACCTTTTTGGTTCATTTTACAAATTGTTTTATGATAATCTGTCTCTTTCTACTGTTATTTAAGACTGCATATCTCTTTTTAATTGCATATGTGCCTAGGAGACAAATATATGCTATCAATGTACTCACTGGTGAGCTATGAAAGTTGTATCAAACACTTTATTTTATAAAACCTTAAAAAAAGTATTACTAAATGTTTTTCATTTTGCAGAAACAGATAATACAAATAATTGCACCCCCCCAAAAAAAAATATTTGAAACTAAAGAAAAAAGCTTTAAAACTGATTTCTTTTAAATCACGAAATGTCATAGAAATCACATAAAATAATAAGTAAATTTAATTATACTGCACAGTTTATGCCAGAAACTTTTTATTATACAAATTATTTTCTGTTTTCTCATCAGCTGATTTTCTAGGAGGTTCTTAGTGTGCACTTTGCATCCATTGTCCTCAAATTTTAATAAAAAACAATGAGACTTTTTTTCCATTATCTTGATGTTAAACAGGTTTCTACCCAAAAATATATTTCTTCGAAACATGTAACATTTTCTAGTGCCTGTTGTTCCAATTGCTGTCAGTTTTTGATAATTTAAAATGCGTTTGATTGCACTTAAAGCAAAACCGAGTCTCTAATTCTTAGAAAATGAAAGATGAATGTAAAATCAAAGTTTGACTATGACATGCAAGATATCTTTTGCTAGAAATAAATAAGTTAAACAAACAAAAAGAATAAGTGACTTACAAATTAAGGACTTCTGTGAGCTTCCTAAAGCTGCACTGCATCTACCATACTAATCTGAAATTTCTTCATTGTCAGTTTCTTCATGTTCAAATATCCGTTATCAGTAGAGTTTCACCAGCAAAATTTTCAAAAATTATTGAATTTGTAAAACTGAACAAATGTAAAGTGTGATTTGTTTTTATGTTTCTTTCATATATAAACAGTATTTTAAAAGGCCTTCTGTACTCTGCATTAAGCTAACCTAATAGCACATACAAGGCAACAATGATCAAATCACAGTTTTTGCCTTTGTTCTTCAAGTTATCCATATGCTTGTGGACCGTCACAAATATCTGGTTCCTTCAATGTATATTTAGCAGTGATTTGTTGACTTTCGTGTGTTTAATCAGCAGCAATTTTTTTTTTCTGTGCGTATGATGAATCTTAAATTCAGCTGATATTTAATTATGGGACAGAGAATGTGCGTTTTCTCTATTCCTTTACATCATAAAGCAAATCGCTTAATCTTCTTGAAATTTAGTTCACAAACATTGTTCAATTCACAATATCAAAAGTTGAATCATTAACGTAAATTAAATTGGAATAATATTATTCTTTGCAGTTTGGGTTTAAAAGCAATTTAAATCGTATTAGAATTTCCGTTATTCTGTGATCTGAAGATTATAAGATACACCTCTTAATTTCAGTATAACCAGCAAAAGAAAATTTGGATTCAAAATAAGTAATTTAAATAAAATGCTAAAATATATCTAGCAAATAATATTTAGTAATTAGCTTTGCTTTATTTATTAACAGTAATATATTGTAAAAATTAATTAGTTTTTGGCATGTTATGTAAATAATTGGGATAGTCATGCAAAATTTTTTAATTTAAATTTTTTCACTAATTTCCTGTTATTTAAAAAAATCAAGTTAAATTTTGGTGAAGGGTTATAAAATTTATTTCATTAATATGTGCAATGACTCTTAATTACATATTATTTAAAAAATTAATACATACAGTAAATTTCTAAATGTTGCTAGTTTAGTTCAATCTCTTATTTAAAGTTCCCATTTTAAATCTAGGCTGCAGTCATTATTAATACATAATTAAAAATATAAACTCGCTCAAAGAGAAAAGGAATGAAAAAATGTAATTTTACTGTTTGAAGAGAAGTATATGGATGATTTTGAAGATAAAACCAAGCTCATATTTGATAGGAAGTGATATACATGATTAGATCAAAGGACACATTGGACAATTTTGAGAAAGCACTCAAACTCACAGAAAAGGCTATTCAAGATAGGGCAATTATGTTAAAAAATTGTTATCAGAAATGTATTTCTAAAGAGTAAAATTGATTTTTTATTTCCAATAGTGATGCTCCATTTTTAGCCCAAAGGGGAAATTTGCCCAGAAGGGTTATTAATTTCGTTTTAACATTTTGATTCACTATAAATGGCGAATCACTTTTTAAGTGGTTGCCACCAAGTATTAGAACCCTGTATTATAATTAAAGAGAAATTAAATAATGAAGAATTTGCATAAATGTATGTATGTTTCTTGCATTGTGATAAACCACGGTACTAATCTTCAAATTTTGAAAAACATACATCTCCACCTGAATATGGGCGTCTGGAAGCCCAAATTTGAAATTTGGTTTGTTATCTAGTTCATATTTTGTAAAGCATTTATGAGTTTTCGATTAAGAAACTCAATGATTTCAAAGTGAGCAATGCCAATACTGTGCGGGGGGGGATTTTTTCCCCCTCCAGCATGTGATATGTATTGGAAATTCTAGAGATATGCTATTTTAAAAATTTTGTGATATTGCTGTTGCATTGAATATTGAATTTTATGGTTTAAGTGCGAAGAACATGATATATTTAATAAATAGAGGTAACATATAAAACGTTAAAAAGAAGCCCCTTTTGGTGCAATGTAAAAATCTGAAAAATTTTCGATTTTTTTTTTATTGTTTTTATTATTTAGATGAACTAAGGCACTGGTTAGTGTGGTTCTATCTTCAATATTAGGTTTAATACATAAGTAACTTAATGAAACATTCATAATGATACTTTTTATAAAACATTAAAAAAATTGCTAAACATAGAGGAACAGAAACTTCTTGTCTTTCTCCAGGGACATGAGAATGTCCTCTGCCACTTGCTTTCCATTCATCAGGTTGAGGGTTATTGAGCATTTTGTACTTTTCTTAGAGAGTGTGGGAGTAGGTTTGGGGTTACTGCAGTTTGCAGTTTTGTGAAATATGCCAAACACGGAATCCATTCTTATTGGTCTGCAGATAATTGACATGCATACTGCTTCAGTTAAAAAAAAATTAGGAATGAAATATTGTCTTCAAGATTCCTTTTTTGTTCAGTCTGTTTTCTAAAAAATATTCATATTTTGTTGTTAAATTTCTAAACAACAACTTCTAAAAATGATACAGCTAGTTTCTTTAGTAAATTAACTGGAAACATTAAATATAGCAAAAAAACATGTGCATTTACTAGCTTCTTTAGTAAACTAGTAAACTAGTATTTACTAGTTTGCATTTACTAGTTTCTTTAGTAAATGCACATGTGTTTTGCTATATTTAATGTTTCCAGCTTGGGTTGACTGATAGTCTAGTAATTAAAGCTTTTCTACTGCAATATAGTAACAGTATTGCTCAGTAAATATACAATGGTTGTATCTTTCCTAGTGTATTCAAGTTAATTTATTGTTTGAAAACACTGGGAATATGTATGGGGATGTTTTCTTAGAGTAATTTCTGTGATATTACTCACCAAATTAAACTATTGTTTCAGCACTTTTAGTGTTGAAGTTGTTAGTTGTTAGTTAGAGATGTTTAAAAAAAAGTGTTACAGTTAGAGATGCAGTTGCAGCACAGTTAGAGATGCTATAAATATTAGTTCTTTTTTATCATCTTCAAAACTTGCTTAGCTAGTAGATATTTTTATTGCAATCATCTGCCAAATCTTTAAAACAATTTGCAAGTAGTAAAGGTGAATTTAGTAGGGCAGCAATGAAACTACTTAGGCTGACTAATATTTTATTTTAAAATAAGGCCAATTTCAGTTCATATGAACTGTTCAGTTCAATAACAGTTCATAAGCCAAACTTTCAGTTTTGGAGAAGAAAAAAAACCCTTTAGTGGTAGTGAAAGCTAATCCACATTCTAAATAAATAATAGGTGTGCTTTTCCTGGAAGGGGAAAAAAACAAATACAATGAATACAACTAAAGAATACAATCCATATTCTTAAACAAATCATTGACTCAAAGCCTTAACAAATATTTTTTTGTTTCTCTCTTCTTAAAGATTTACCTTAAAAAAAATCCCATTTATTCTTAAAATACTTTTTACTTTTACAGTTGATGTTTTTCTCTCAATATATATACTTGTGCATTTTTTATATTAAATTATAATTATCTCACAACAGTTCTTTTGGAGACTTACAAAAATGCATTTGATAGTTTATTTATTTTTGTTTGTTATTTTTAAAGTTTGCAGCCTTATATAATTTAAATTCTTTTCAGTAACAAATATCACTTTGTTTTTCAGGCCTATATGCTTGGTTTACATTGAATTTTCTGTTAGGTAAGCTCATTTAACCATTCTGTTATATATATATATATATATTTTTTTTTTTTTCCAGGAATGAATTTTATAAAAAATTGAGCAGTGCAAATAATGTCTATTCATACCGAAGAGTAATATTAATGTTATTACTGTGTATCTTAAAGCAAGCAGGATTAAGTGTGAAGTGTTAAAAACTGAAATATGAGTAGTAAATGAATTGAATAGTTCTTATATATAATAGTAAAACACAAGAGTTTGTGTTTGTGTATTGTATAGTGCAGACACATATAGGTCCAGAGGTATGAAATTTGACTCCAACTGTAGAATTAAAGAGTTGACCAGTTGATGAAAATGTGCATTTTAAAGTTCTCTCTCTCTCTCTTTTTTTAAAATTTGATTTAGATTTTTTTTATTTAAAGGGGAACTATTTTTTGTTTTTGTTTTATTTTGAAATTTTGATAATTCATTTTTATGTATAAAGAGCATAACTTCTTTCAGAAATCTGTATGACTGCCTTGATTCTTAACTGTAGCTCTAGCTGGAACTGCCCATGAAAATAAATTTCTTAGTACCTTCATGTCAATTTGATCTTTTCCCTCTTTGGTCATTTTTTTGCTTGCTGTTTCCTAACTCTTGTTTTAACGAATTGAAGATGCGGAAGTCCATAGGAGAAGTGTCAGGTGATTTTACAGATATTTATCAAAATGGGATACATTTTATTTCTATTTCTGATTCTTCCTTTGCCAGTAAGTTACAGTCAACTTAGATGTGTGATTAGAAGCTTTGTCCATATGAAGCTCACCTTTATTAATGTCCATTCCATATAAGGATGGAATTTCTTAAAAAATTTGTTCCAAAATATTTACTGATAGTTCAGTGAATTAATTTTAGCCTTACGTGAAACTTCTTTGAGTTTTAATTTGCCATTGCAACAAAATCCTTCAAATATCATGAATGCTTTTTGGGAATTTTCCTGTGCTTTGGTTAAGCCATTTGTATAATCATTTTTATCAGCTAAGTAATAGAAAATAAAATTAAAAAAAAAAAAAAAAAAGAACTAATTTTTTTTCCCTAGCCATTTAAATATAGCCATGCCTCATTGAGTGTTATCACAAATTTCCATTTATCGATAGCAAGATGTTTTTCGTATAATTTTCTGCAATTTTTTTCTCTTCACAATATATCGTAGTAAAAGCAGAATAATTTTAGGTTTAGTCACCTTTTTTTAACTTCAAATCTCATGAATAAGTTTACTTACAATTTTTACAACATTGTACAGTTTGTTGATATTATAATTTTTCCTAAAAAAAATGCATTACATGACCTTCAAGTAATCTATCAATTTTAGAAGCCATTTCCCAAATAAGTCTCCTTAGGCTGCTATCACATGTTGGTTTGTTTTGGAAGAACTACTGTTTGGAACAAATTTTCTGCTTTGTCACAACAGCTAATCAATATAGATTGCTTTGTGGTTAATACAGCGAAAACCAGTTCCCCATTACAAACAAGCTGATACCATTCGAAGCTGATAGCTGATAGGTTGAAAATGAACAACTTGCAATTTTTTTTGAAAAGAAGGAAAAAGTTGCACGTCTTTCTTTCAATAGTATACCAGGCAGAAAAATTGTCCAAAACAGTTGTTCGTGTAAAATAAATGCCATGTGAAATGGGCCTTACTCTGCATTCCATTAAAAACAAAACAGTATCAGATAATTAATATTGAAAATGCCAAATATTTATCTCAAAATGCTAACACAAAAATTTAAATATAAAATTTTTTCCAGAAAGTGACCTTCTGTATTTATATTCTGAGAAAGTTTTTCTTATTTTTTTAAAGCAGAATTTATGAAGTGGGTAAACATTTCAACTTCTTTGAAAAGTCTTTGTGTAGTAACAATGGAGATGATTTAAAAGGAAAACTGATTAAATAATAATTTATGAATAAATGTAGTATTATTACTTATTTTCCCCATTAAATGTATCTTTAAGATTACTGAATTTCTTTTCATTCCTGAATGCATTCAGTCATGGAAAAAATATCATTTTAGTCTTTGCACAGTTTTAGTCCAATAATTCAACATACTTAGTAAACCAACACTACAATTATTGTTAGACATTTGCTGTATTCATTTTCTTAAGCTTTCAATTATTATCAAGTTATTTAGCTTCCATTTTATGTAGTCTGTAATGTTAAATTATGCAGAAATTGTAAAGTCATGCACATAAAGTAAATGCCTCTTTTTAAGTTGTATTAAAGGTGTAAAAACTGTATCATCTGTTACTAAATGGTACTGTAGGCATACTAAAGGACATAGCTACTTTGTATCTAATAGTCTTGTGATGTGTGCATTAGAGCTCTGTTTGTGCTGCTAGACAGGCATGGCATTTTCTCAAAAGTAAAGAATTTTCATAGTTAGAGTATTTTGTTGTTTTCATTTCAAAGTGTGCTTGGAATTAGAGTGAACTGTGCAATTGTACCAAGATACCATTATATGGTTTATTGTACGTGTTGAACATGAGTTTGGTTCCAACAATATAGCGCCACTCCTCACGCATTCAAAAAACTATGCAGTTTTTACATGTTTTTTTTTTTTTTTTTGGCAACCTTATAATTTAGAAATGTTTTTGATCCCCATGTTTGTCTGATTTAAACCTTTTTTTTTTGGTGTGTGTGTGTGTGTGTGGTGCCTTAAGCAAAAGATCTATACAAATGATTCTTATGTATCGTATAATTTAAAGAAGAATATTACAGTGGCAGTTAACATTAGTGTACAGGCCTCAAATATAGCAAAAGGAGCATGCACATGCATTATTGTAAAGACATTTTGAGCATATGTTGTAAAGACATTGTTTGAATGTTAATTTTTATGATATAAGGCAATGAACATTAAGTATTGTAATTTTATGATATAAGGCAATGAACATTAAGTATTGTTTATTTTTTTAAAGCAGAATTTATGAAGTGGGTAAATTTAGTTTGCATTACTCCAGCAAACTTTACTTGCTTACTATGATGTTCATGGGCTTTTTAGTCACCCAATACTTTTGTTTGAAGCAGAAGATACTGTTTGCAAAAAATTGTAATAGAATATCTGGTGAACATTTACATTGTAATTTCATTTACAGCATGCTTGAAGAAAGCTGTTTTGCTCTATTTACTCATCATTTATGAAAGAAGTGAATTTACTCAGCATAGTGAACAACATATTTCAGTCCAAGAATTTGGAAACATTTCCATCTGAGAATCCATTGTCCTGGATTATTTTACTTTTAGTCACAAAGAAAAAATTTAAAAAATTAAAAAATGTGTAAAATAATAACAGTAAATATAAATATTTTTTCATTAATTTTTTTCTGTAATAAAAATTTCTTCATCCCTACTTGTCAACAACTGAAATTTAAAGGAGGTTAAGCACTGTTATTTATAATGCTAAAGTTGACCGCAAACATGTAGAAATTTGGATCGCATTTCCCTCATTTTTTAAATTATGAATTTATTTTTTATATAACTATACTGCAATTTTCGTAATTTAAAATAATGCATTTTAAAAAAAAATTCTGTATTTATGAATTAAATAATGAAAAATGTAGTTTTATTTTGTTAGGTCAGATTTGTGAATTATTAAGAGCAAATGTAAATTTTCTTCAATATAGGAAGACTACATGAACCAAATCATTCTGTTGCATCATTGGACCTGGGAGGTGGATCAACTCAAGTCACATTTTCTCCAGTTGATTTAGATACTGTAGTATTTAGTCCAAAAGATTACATAGTCAAGAGAAAAGTTTTAAATAAAACTATGTCTATTTATACTCATAGGTAAGTTTATTCCTTAATGAAAAGTGTGCAGTTTGTGGGGAAAAAAAAAAAAAAAAAAATGAGCTCACCAAGCCAGGTAACAGAGTTGGCTATATATATGCGTGTGTGTGTGTTTGGTGCAGCCTATTGCAACAAAAAAGGAAAATGCACAAGTACATGTTATAGTAGTCCCATGTACAAAATGTCAATGCTCTAAGGCAACTTGTTTTCGAGTTATGCAAGATACATACATATGTAGTTGCATACAGACATCACAAAAAAAATCTGTGAGTTCCTTTTACAATAGTTTTGAAAAAAAGAATCCTTTATTCTGTCTGTACATACAGATGTCATGCAAAATCATCATTCAAGTGGATTCAAGAGCAGTCAAAATGGATATTTCCATTGAAGTATGATACCCAAACTTTTCGCTATTACAGTACTTCATGCAAAAAAGTAAAAATATGAAATTTTTCTCTGACCTGCTGTCTATTATTTTGTACTGAATAAGATTTGTGAGGTCATATATGTATGATTTGCTAGCTATTAAAACTGTAGTGCCATAAAGGACTAAAAATAATAAAACCATATTCATTTTGTATGTAGTTTTGTAAATAGTTCCGAATACAAAAAAGAAAGTAATTAAAATTTCAGTTTGGAATATACAAAACATGCAGAGATTCATATTTGAGTCATCAAGTCAGATTCATGTGTATGCATACTGGACACAAGTTGGACTCATATGCCATAGCATATCTCCAGATGATAGATCAGTATAAGGATTGTTGTTTAGTCAGCTGCTGTTATTATTGTTGATCAGATTAACTTTCTCTGTGCTGTGAATTGCATTCTATTTAACATTTTAGTAGTTTAAAGCATAGCTGCTCATTATATTGCATGATATTGTGATATTGTACGAATAACTCAGAGGAAAAATCCAGCATTCTGTTATTTTTCTTTTGATAAGAATAGATTTTATTAACATTTTATACAATCTGTGCATTCAATCTATTACGGACCCATATTCACACACCAATATATATATATATATACACAGTCTGTTACTCAACTCCATGAGCTCAGTTTTTTAATTCTTATATGTTGGTAAATTGTGCATTTTTTGCTTTAAAAATGATTGATTAGGTTGTTCTTATCTTCCAGTTAAGGTTTTTATGCCTTTAGGTAATATGCTTGCAATAGTTGTAGAATTCTCAACCATTTAAAAGTTGTTTAACTGTGGTTAAGCCTAATTTTTTTACCACATCAACCCTATTTGTTTACATTTTTTATTTAGTAGTATAGTGAATTAAGTCAGTTTTGCATCTTCAGTGTCTTTTTGCCGAGAGGGACTAAAAATAAACTCACTTTGTGCACTTAAAAATATGCTTTCTTACCCGCTGGACGAATTGCTTGTTTTTGTGTAGAAGCTCTAATTTTAATTGTAAAAATTGTTTTTTTAATTCGTTTAATTGTATTTGGTGTTTTATCTTTTTCTATATTTTTCAATTCTGAATAAAGATATTTTGAGGTTAAGTTTAAATGAAATGCAGGAAGAAATGCATATAATTCCGTAAAGGAAGTCATGGTGTACACATCAGATTTTTTTTATTTGGTGTCATTTTGTTTAAAATAATATTTCATGTGTGAGATACAAGTTTGGATGTAACTTTTCTTCTATCATTTTGTGTCTTAAATTCTGTGAATCTGTTATTAATACAAATATACAATTTATATTGCATATAAGGTATTCATTAATAATTTTCTGATGTCATTTTAGTTACTTAGGTCTAGGTTTGATGTCAGCACGACTGTCAATTTTAAAATTATCTAAAGTAAAATCAGGTATGTATGATATTTATTTTAAATATAAAAATAATATTTATTTTAAATATTATTTTATATTTTTAATATTTATTTTAAATATAAAAATTCTATTTAAAGTACAACTGAAGGAACTTCCAATTAAAAGCAGTGTTCATTTATTTTACTTAAAATTAAACCAGGCATGTAATAATGGTAAATACAAGCCATTTCTTAACTTTTCATTCATCCTAGATTCTTGAAATATTTTTAATATTACAACAAATGTCTAATCTCTTTTTTACTTCACTTTTTATGGAAGTCAATGTGATTATTTTTGGCTTGCTTGAATATCCATTGACATTTTAATTCTGAAATTGCATCAAACATTCTGAATGAATTCCTTAAACTTCTGATGAGAATATAAGTCATCGTTGCACCTTCTCACTTACAGCAATATTGTTGGAATTGTTCTCCTCCTCCTTCTGATTTTGTTGAAGATCCTCAACTAAATTATTGATACCTATTTAGAGCTTAATGATGTAATTCTGAGCATATTTATGCTTGTCTTATGAGCTTAACTAAACTATTTGGGCAAGTTCTTTTTCTACATAAGCAGTACTTTCTTATTTAACAATCATGTGATTCTAAAATATTTTGCCACAGTCTCTGGAGACTTTTAACAGCCTTACTTAAAAATCCTAATTGATTGCACAAATAATCGTAGAGACAGCCCATAAGATAGCTTTCATGGTTTGACTAATGTACAGTATAGAATTCATACTGGTAAGCAAAGAGCATAATAGTAACATTTGATAATGTACTGAGACCCTGTTATTGACTTCTGATTCACTGATTTTTAAAAGTTAGTGATACTTAAGCGGATCGTGCATTGAAAAATTTAGTGGAAGCATGACATGCTACATTTCAAAAAACAACAAAACATTCCTCATTTTAGTATCCAGTGCCATGTTTGAAATTTCTGTTTGATGTAATATTAGTCATATTACATTTATGCTAATATTAAGAAATTGAGTGAATTTTCTGCTTGAGGCAAATTTCAACATGCAACAATTTTAATTTTAGAATGATCAGGGGAGCATGTTCAAATTGAAAGAGGAGTTAAAAGGCTATTGTTAATTTATTATTGGAAACTAGATATTTTATATTTTACATATATATGATTATTAAAGGTTACTGCTGTGGCATAGTGTATTTTTTCTTTAATTTCATAATACATTATGTAATTTGATTAGTTCATTCAGAATAATATTTAAACATTTTCATTTTGTACTCATTTTGTATAATCAGATTCTGCTGTAAACATTTCATTATATTCATAAGTCTGTTATACCTATATTAACATGTAATATACATATTCTTTGATATTATTTATTTCAATAGTGTAATTGTTGAAAAAGCTGTTTCATTCTTTTAAATTATTTTGAACGTATTCTGAGATTAATTAAAAATTTGTTATAGGGTACATAACTATGATGTTATCATTAAATTTTACAATAATTAGACATTATAACAAATTAAATGTGTACGATTTGGTGAATATTATTATTATGACTATGTGTAAATTGATGTTTAATTAAAAAAAAAAGAAAAAAATTTGGAGCACTGACACAGTTTACTTTTATTTAACCTTTTGTAGACGGATGGCCAATATATTGGCAGTTGTATTCCCTGTTTGAATGGACGGGGTTGCCCACTTTAATGGCCATGTCTTTTTCTCCCATTTTAGAGGCTGAAAATTGTCAAATTTGACGTGCCTGGGGTTTCAACCACTTATCTCTTTCAAAGATCTCCCCTTTTGCGACATAGATACATCCCTCTGAGAATCCATTAAACTACACACAAGAATCTTTGTTGCAAATAGGAGGTGATTTCTTAAAGGGAGGAAAGCATTCCGTTCAAGATTTCCGGTCTTTTGGTAGCTTTTACTGCTACCAAAGCCCCGACCTCAAAAGGTTAAATGCAAAAGCTTATTCCACAAAGTAAACAAAATACAATAAATAAATGCTGTTTTAAGTATTAAAAATATTACAGTTAATCTCTTTCAAGATGCAAAGAGTTTTAATAGAAAAATGATGTGAAAGATTTGCCTAATTTTAAACTCCAAATTACTTATTTTTGCATATATTGCAAATACTTATTTTTGCGTATTTCAGTTACATATTAAAGTAAATGAGTTGCCTTCTTTTTCTAGATCACTCTGAAAATGAAAGCAGTTTTACAAGTTCCTGTATTCATCCAAATGTGAATGTAAAATGGAAATTTGACTTGAATGAATATAACGTCAGGTAAAAATCTAGTATAAATTATTTTTCATGTAGTTTTCTACATTTATGATACAAACGAACAAGAAAAAATAGTTAACTTCTGCAACAATATAAAAATTTCAAATTATAATCGTATTATTTTTTAAAATATTTTCTTTTATATATTAATGTGCATTCATCTGTAAAAACTCCTTTATATACATTTATTTAGTTATAAAGAAATGTATGAGATCAATTTTTAAAAAATTATTTGTAGTTAAATATTTATACTGTAATAAAAATTGTAATTTCATTAAATAATGATTTCTTGTGTATTTGTAATAATTTATGATTCTTAGTTACATTTCATTTAAATGGGTTCTTTTTTTTTTAGATTGTTTTTAATGTTAGAAAATACTCTTCGATTAGAAATCTTAATTTAGTGTATTTATTATGCAAAGCATCAGAATGTTTTATTCAGTAAGAAAATGTTTCATATGTAGGTTAAATGTTAAGGTCTTTAATTTGCCACACTAAACGAAATCACTGCAAAGCATAAAAAAAAACCTGTAATGACTTAAAATAGTTGTGTATCAAAAAAAGGGGGGGGACTTACATAAATTTGTTAATTTCACAAAGGTTTTCAGTTCTCATTCAAATTGAAGTTTTTATATTAAAATAAACAGAAAAGAAGTATGCTTTTCCTCTTAAAAAAATAAAAATTTCTTTTAACTTATGAGACAATTTTTCTGTGTGCAGTTTTTTTGTGCATTATTTCCAGTTTTTCATATTTTTCTTATAACAATCATATTTTTGTCCTTATAAAAGGATTATTTAAATTATAAATTTGGGCTTATTATTTAAAGGATCTTTATAAAGATCCTTTAAATTTCAATTAATTTCATGGTTTTTCATTACTTAAAATACTGTCTACATTTTTAAACAAAATTGAGTGTATATTTATTATATTATTTTTTTATATTTGTACAAATGGTAAATATGGGCTTTAACGAAAGTTTCCTGCCACCGCATGTATCGTCTGTGCAAGAACTTAGCATTGGTGTGTTTAATCATATTTTGTCAAACGATTTTTGGCACTTGAAACAAAGAGACTTTTTTTAGAACACTATATTGTGAAATTTGTAAGAAAATATCGTTATCATTAAGCATAAGGTGTCTGAAATGGAACTATCATGCTACCACGCTACCAGATTAAAATCATCTTTTACTTCCATTTCTGTTGCAAAAAGTCATCTACCAAATGTCATCAAACCATGTATACAGCTTAGAGGACTATGACATTCAAGAAGCAGAGCACTCTGGCTGGCCTGCTGATGTTGATGAGGTCCACCTATGAGAACTTGTGGAAGAAGATTAGTATGCAATCACTTGAGAGCTTGCTAAGGAGTCAGACATTAGTACCATGTCCATTAGTCATGCTGTATGTTGCATAAACTTGACATACGAGTTCAGTCACTGAGTGCTGCATGAGCTGAAGCAGATAAGGACAGGTGTGTTCGGGTCTGCACTGATCTGATCAAATATCAATACAAGGGAAAAATTCGGGACAGAATCATCACTAGTGATGAAAAGTGGATTTACTTCAACAGTACAGGTTGAAAAGGGGATTGAATAGTGCCCAGAGAGCCTGACGGCAGGTCAGAAAGTACAATTTGGCTAACAAAAAGATCTTACTTTGTATCTGGTGGAATTGCTGTGGTATTATCCACAATGAGTACCTGGAAAAAGGTAAAACTCTTGACAATAAGGTGAGATGGTAGTCTGTGTTGATGTTGCTTGCTATCAAGGAAAAAATGTGAACTGAGTTCCGATGCAAAAAGGAAATGTTCCACGAAGATAATGCAAGACCACATGTGTCTGCATTCACCAGCTGGACTCTGTACGGATTCGAATGGGATCTTTTGCCACTCACACCGTATAGCCCAACATCGCTCTTTTGGACTTCTAGATTTTTTCACTCCTGCAGCTACATCTTGCTGATGCTTTCTTCCATTCTGCACAGGGTGTCCAAAATGATGTTGATCTGTTTTCTGGGACAAAGTTTCTGCGCCAAAGGCATTGAAAAACGATCAACTAATTGGCAGAAAATCTTAGATTTGGGTAGTGATTACTACCTGCACTAAAGGTACGGTTTCCATGTTTTTTTTTTTTTTCCCTAACTTTGTTGAGAAGGATTTTTGGTGGAAAACTTTCGTTACAACCAGATACATTATCTAAATCTTCATCCTCAATAATTTTTGATATTACATTTATTGATTTTTATAATACAAAACATTAGAAAAGCTGACAATTATGAATTATGTTTTTCAGTTAAAAGTCAGTGTTATAATTTTAGTGCAGTAAAAGAGATTCCACATCATAGTTTTCTAGAATGTTAATATTGATGCTAAATAATTTTTTTGATGTTTTTATTGTGTAATTTGTCTAAAGATTTTTTTTAGCACTTTTAAGTGCTAAAAACTGTGAGGGACTAAATCTAATGTCATGATTAACAAGTTTGGGGAAATATTTCATTTGATCAGATGGATCTAAATTTTTATTATACTTTAATTTGTAAATCATTTAGTTAATGGAAAAATAGGGAAGTGAAATTTAAATTGTATTTATTTTTAGAATCGACTTTTATGGATTAAATAGGATAAGTGCTAAAAAGGAGAATTATCATATTGGATATATATTTTTTAGTAAAATCATTTAACCTGAAACTGTAAGTTTTTAAGCTGTTTGATGTTGTATTTAGTTATGAAATGCCATATCAGTTTTTTAAAATGGTAAGCTCTTGTTAAAAAGTATATCATAATGAAGATACCGTATTCTTATTAAGAGATTTTGAGTCTTATATTTCTGCAATTTTCATAATTAATCTGAGTGGTGGAAATGAGACTGACATGTTAATACACAGTTTTTTGCATGCATTCTAATATGGCGTATATTTCCTACTGTTAAATAAATTTTAGTAATAATCTTAGTTAATTCAAGACTTAAGCATTTTCAAGACATGGATGCTTTTTAATTTAGTTGCAAAAAAATTACGAATATTCCTTTTTTTACATATAAAACTAACATTTTAAATTAAAAAATAGTAAAGAATAAGTGTTAAAGTCAAACTAAAATTTTGTTACAGGACAAAAGAACATACAGGAATTGTATATAAACATTTATAAAAATATATTACTTTTTCACAGGTTGAATAATGCTAAGCTATTTTTGCTAAGTCAAATTATGCAGGAAATTGGGAGGAAAAAAAAAAAAAAGAAATATTTCTGTTCTTAAAACTATAATTATTTAATTATGGGATGGAAACACTTGTGTTAGTAGAAATGGGCATTTCACAGTGGCTTTCGGTGTTATCAATAAAAACATCAATTTAATCCTCTGGATTCAAATGCTATTTTTTTAAAAGGACAGATCTAAGCTGATGGAACTTCCAAGGAAAAGGCTAGCATGCCACAACTGGTCAATCTAGGCTATTTGAAATATTTTTAATCAGATTGAGCTTAGAAGAATAGGATAGCCAGTAGGAAATATCAGAAGTTTGGAGATATTTAGTTATCATATCAGCTGATTAAGATAAAGATTATCATGACCGCCCCCCCTGAAAAAAAAAAAAGAGAGAAAGGAGTCTTAGCCCATAGGAGTCATTAATAGCCTTACTTGGGGAGGGTTACTTAGCCTTATTTTTTTATATCTGTATGGTTACAGAACCTGTGTCATAGGTACAAGTGTTTTGTTTCTAATAATTTTTACTTTAACAAGTAAACTGCCATCATGGAACCAGTGTGTTCCATTAATATGTAGTCAAAGATTGATTATACTAGGCTATCTTTAGATGAAAGTTTATCCAGAATCATTATTTAAACTGCATCTGGTTCATCTGTGAACAAACAGTACTAAGATGCAGACATCTTGGCTGCATTGATGATGAAGAGAGATTGTACCATCTTAAATACAGACACAGAACACAGATCATGACTATTAGTCTTTACCAAAAGACCATAAAGCCTTCAGGAATCAGAAAATCTGTTTTTTCCCCCTTCTTTTTCTTTCTTTTCTTTCTTTCTTTTTTTTTTTTTTTTTTTTTTTTTTTTTTGTGTGTGTGTATGTGTGTGTATGTGTCAGTGGCTGTGGAGAGCTTCTGCTCTAGCTGTCTAATCTTATGTAATGGTTTCCTTAGATCAGTAATGACAAATAAAGTTTTTTATATGCTACAGTTGTTATTGGATGCCTTGATCTGGAAGTCAACTAAACTGTATACATGCTTAGAGAGCCGCTCCATATTTTGAGATAAAATTTTGGAGAATATTCAGGGATTGAGAGGTGTCTAGCAGCACTTGACCCACCTTTAATCTATAAACTGCTTGATATTTTTGCCTTTCATGTAAATGATGTCTCTCAGACATGGTTAGATATATTTCACTTCTTTCTTCACACAACATTTTATTTAATAAGGATATGTTCGTTTTGTAGATGCTGATCATTTGCATGTATTTGCCTTATTTACAAATTTTATGCCCAAATTATAAACACAGTAATATGCTTTTGTGTTCTGTAGCATATAATCACCATAAACAATTGCACTTTAGGCTTTGTTTAGGGTTATCCAAATAATTACACTAAGTGGAGTTTTAATCAGTTTGTGCATTGTTAGCATCACTTTTGCAATTATCTTTTAATTTTGAACATCTCTATAAATGTACATAAATTTATATACAGAGTGAGTATTTATTCATAGATTTACTTAAAGAGGTTAGATTATATATATATATATTTTAAATTTAAGTGACCCTATAGTTATGGAAAATAGCATTGATGGTATAATTGATTTATCCATCTTTGTATGCTAAATTTCAAGAGTATTTTAAAGAAAAATATAGGGAATATTTTTATTTTATCAATGAACTTGTTATCTGAAGGAATTAAGTGTCATCATTCAGATGACAATTATAATGTTTTGCTAATATATGGTTCCTGTTCATCTGTAAAGTCTTGTAAGTCAGAAACAGTCGGAAATGAAACATGGAATGTGAAAATGCGAGGGCATTTCGAAAAGTAATCCTTAAAAAAACATTTATTTAGAAAACGTCAGTTACATCTTATTAACTGGATTATTTATTATTTTTCGACATAATCATTCCCGTTATCCGAACATTTGTTAAGTCGGTGCACAAGCTTTTGTATCCCACAGTCATAGAAGGTTGCCGCCTGCTGGAACCCAGCGCGCACACAATTTCCTGCGCCCTAACTTGACAGTCGCAACGTCACAAAGAGTTGTCTTTGACACTTCCGGTATGATCTGATGCAATTCTTTCAATTTGAGACGTCTATTCGCACGAATTGCTTCCTATGTTCTCTGAAGAAGGGCATCAGAGATCACAGATGGCCGACCTGTTCTTTGTTCGTCATGCACATCGGTCCTACCTTCAGAGAAATGACGACACCATTTCGTTACATTTTGTCGATTCATAATTGTTCCCATAAACAGAAACAATTTCTTTGTGAATATCTGCTGGTCACTGACCTTTTGCATGAAGAAAACATATGACGGAGTGCACTTCGCATTTGGCGGGATTCTGAATCGGCGCAACCATTTTAAACACGACCTACTCCAACCAGAAATAACGTCGAAATGTCGAACGACCACGAGGAGAAAGCTAACGGTTCAAGGTTAACACCTGTGTTGCCAACTTGCTCACCAAAACTTTTCTTTTTCTCTGGCGTGTGGTGTATCTTTACTTTTCGAAATGCCCTCGTATAAACTTTTTTTCAAAAAGTCAGTGAAAATCTTTAACTTTTTCTTGCCAAGGAAGACTGATCTTCTCAAAGAATGAAATGTTCATGCTTTAACAGGGTTCGTAGCGGTCCTTATAAGTGCTTATAAGTCCTTATATTTAAAAATAAAATATAAGGGCCCTTATAGGTGCTTACTTTTTCTTTAAAGCCCTTATTTTTTTGTTTAATAAACTAAATAAACAACTAAATAAACAACTTCACAACTTCACACATTCCTAATATGGAATGTCAGATGGTGAATCATACTCCCGGAAATAGCTTTTCCTCCTCACTGTGCATGAATGTAACTTTTGGTGTGCGCTGAGAGTACAGACAGGTGCCCGTCGTTCTGTTGGTCAAAGAATTGCGAAAGCAATAGAAAATTCTGGTACATTCGGCATTCTTTTCCTCCCACCCAAATACTACACACGTTTGAATTTATATCAAGATCTTAATAATTTGCATTCTCGTTCCGCTTGGTCAGTTCATATTCGTGTTTGTTATGATCGTTATGCTTATATTATGAGTATATGCATGAATGTTTATAATAACATAGTTGCAGTAACTGCTGAAGTATAGTAAACTTCCAAAAATGGTTGTGTTTTAACACAGATTAGCTTTCTAAGGAATAATATTCGGAATGGCTTAAATAAAGGGAAAGTAATCAAATAGTCAAAATAATTTAATTTTTTTGGCCAATACATTATACAGTATGAAGGTTGGGAGGTTCTCCCCTTTCTCCGCAAAATCTCGAATATTGAAACTGTTACAGTTCGCTGCAAAACAAGCAATGGACCCCTCCTTTTTTTTTATTTATTTTTATTTTTTTGTCACTTTCCAATCTGGATTGAATAGGACTAAAAGTTCTGCGGTCTACCAACCCAAGCAAAGAATGATTCTATTCCGGAAATTTAATGCAGTCTGTTGAAAATTAAAATGAAAAACACCCCAGATTGGTAAGTCTCTTTCTTTTCCTTTATTTAGTTCTTTATTCTCCCAATACCGGCAGCTGTTGATTCCGATTGCGTAATACCAAGTAGGAAAGAATTACGGTGCACGTATTGTGCAATAACGTTTGTGATATTTTGTAGAGATAATTAATTTTGATGTTCGGTCCGAGATTTGTTTATGAACACTTAAAAGAGTTTTACTGTGCTTGCTAAGCAGAATATTTTTCTGTTCCATTGGTTTGTTTTTATATGATGCACATATCGAAATGTCAAAGGGATTTATTTAGCGGAAAAATCTAAAAAACGGCTACAGTGTATCCCCCCGTCTGCTCCTCTTTTTTAAGTTACGCTCGACTGTCTGAATATTCGCCAATTTTCAAGTATGTGGGTACTTAAGCCAAAGAATATGTATTGACAGTACATAGAATATGTACATAGACTTTCTTTGGTTAAGCTTTTACTGTTAAAGAATGACTGCATGAAGAAAATTTCTGTCTTCTGATATCAGAAATGTTTATTTTTTTCATTTAAATTACTTTTCTTGCTGTTAAGGAAAAACTGATATAACAATGAAAATTTAGAAAATGTTCAGAATTTAGATTTAAATTAGTTAAATATCAATATGAGTGGAAAAATAAATTGTATTTATTATTAAGTTCCAAGTGAATAGAATAAATATGCCTTATTATTATTTATTTCCTCTATTTTGAACTGAAATTTCATCATTAAATCTTGTAATATACTTTAGTTCTGCATAGTTTTTTTTTTCTCTCATTGTAAACTAGTTCTGTAAATTTAACTGTTATTTAAAATTTAAAAAAAAGTATGTAATTGTTTTCCATGGCTGAGTAATGCTCATTCTCTCTTAATAAATACTGAATTTCTCATATTTTAAATTACGAGTCTTATTTTTCTTTTAAGGTTATGCAGTTGTGTATAATGTAATTAGACAGGTGCTTATTTTTTTCCTTAAAATGTGCTTGAAAAGTGCTTATAGGTGCTTATGTTTTTTACTAAAATGTGGCTATGAACCCTGTTTAAATGATACACTGTAAACAAAAATTCTGTCCTCCTTAAAAATAAATAAATAAATAAATAAATAAAAAAAATACTGCAGTTTTTGTTTTTCTTGTACAAAGTATTTTATTCAACTTTTATTGGAAAATATTTATTATTATAGGAATAATAATTATTGTGAATGATGTGCTGTTGTTGTCAGTTTCTTTCAGAATATGAATTTTTTTTTTCTAGAAGATATTTTTTTTTAAAAAACAACCTACTTTTCCGAATGGTTTTAGTTGTATTTTTCCTTCCTGTATGTATACATATTGTTGCATGCTTATGGGTTATGTATTGAATGCACACAGAACCAGTTCTAGCTTTGTAAAATTTATTTACCAAAAGAAACACTTTAACAGTTCTGAAACTTTCCACAAAAACAATCGTACAGTTCTTCTCAGTATCACAGAGCACAAGTAGTAGCTGCATTTTAAACTACTAAGAATGTTAAACACAACACACTGCAAAGCACATTTAAATTGCAAAACTCTCACTGTATCTCAATACTTTGGATTCAGCTCTGAGAGCAGATGTTCTCTCCAGTCTTATATACTTTTCACCCAGCCACCAAGATATCTCTTATACCTTCCATTTCTCAAAATTACTGGAAGGCATATACAGTTGAAGTTATATCTAAGGGCTGGGTATGGTTACAGTTACATTTGGTGATCAATTACAGTTTTTCAGTTACAGATCAGTTAGTTATATAGAGACTGGACTGAAATGTTACCATGTGGTTGCCTAGTTTGGCAACTTTTGTGCAATTTCTCGCCGAATTTGGGGACAAAACGTAGTTGTCAAATCCATCGCCAGCGTCGTGATATCTCTCCAATTTAGTGAGAAAGCCATTTACTCTGTTAAGTAGACTTGCCTCTGTTATCTTATTTCTTAGGCACAGCTTCGTCTCTCAAGCATTTCGTGTTACATTATACAAAAACTACTATAATTTCTCACATAATTGCACTAGAATTACTTGCATGTGTACAAAATTTATAACAATATATTTGCTTCACAATAATGAATAAGAAAAATTCATTTTTGTTTATTATGCTTGGTCACAGAAGTTGTGTTCTTTAGTCTTGAAAAATTAGGAGAATTAAAAGTTGAATTTCATTGGAATTCTGTAATAATTACCATTTTTGATTTCATTGTTGATCATCTGCTAATTCACATAGAGTAATAATAGTGTCTAAAAATGTAATTGTTTTAATTCTATTAATACTTTAAAATGTTTGTTATCTGAAATTTTATTGCTCTTATTTTGATTGAAATTAAACTTGATAACATGGCGCTTAGTAATAAAAGTATTCTAACTGCTATTGATTATAAATGCAAATTACTTGTAACAGATATATATTATTACTTTCTTTTAATTTTTCCACCATAGTGGTAGAGCTGATGGACAGTTTGGCTTTAAATATTGCTATGATAAGGCTGTAAAATTTCTTGGTGATTCTGTTGATCAGCCTGAAGAACTATTAAAAAGAGAAGTTTATGCATTATCATATTATTATGACCGAGCTGTTGACTTAAAAATTGTTGGTATGTATTTAGCCTTAATATTAAACTGCAGAATGGACAAAATTCAGAGTACCTGTTTACGCACTAGGATATCTATAGTTAACGTTTTACATGAATGATATCTATGTTAATCTAGTTATTTGTATATGAAAGTATTTTTTATTCCGTAGTGTTTTTTTAAATTTTATTTTGCAAATTTGTTGGTAATAATTTGATGTTTTCAGAAGAATTTATTCATTAACATTAAACGTTTGTTGTAAATTTTAAGTACCTTGGTAATATTATTTCAAAATATTGATGTTACTTTCGAATTTCTTTAATTTGTATTATACCTAAGATTAGGTATTTCATTTTTCTTTGAATATTTTTAGTAAATTTTTTTAATAATTCTTTTCACAAAAATTATTAAACAATTTACTGGTTCATTTTTTAACAGCTGTGTTTTTACAGGTATGTCTGATATGTGAACTTTAAGAAGTAGTTGAACAGTTTTTATATGAGCAAGTAGTGCATAAAACATGTTTAAAAATGAAAGTTTTTGACCTACTGTTTTTAGTCAGAAGATTTTGACTTAATTAGTCAAACTACAGAGTTGAATTAATATCTTGAGAAATACGATTTATGCAAAATAATGTGTGTAATATTTGCTTGCTTGCTTTATTTAATATTTGATTCTTTATTTTATATTTGATTTTTTTCTGAAAGCTTCAATTCGATTATTTATTATACACTGAGGATTTGGTATGTTTATGCAGATCAGTTTCTGAATTTAGTAAGAAATGTTAAAACTCAGCATAATCCATTATTTTTACTCTTCTTTATTTGTCAGTCAGCTTAATATATAATTTTTTAATCAATCAGTAAAGACATGAATCCCATAAAATTCCTGTTTTAGGAATTGTCTCGTTATACCTATGAACTGATAGCTGTCAAGGGTGTTATTGTATCTTAATTATCAAGGGTGCATTGGATATTTTGCTGTCCAAAGCAGTTCAGAATTCTAATGTAAAATAATTTTCTCTGATTCTAAATCTGCACTCTGGGCAATCAAGAGGAGCTACTCTGAACTTGCCCAGGACATTCTTGTGCTCATAAACACAATAATAGCTGTCCCAAAAGCCTACACCCTACAGTCCCAAAAGCCTTTTCCACACTTTATTTGTGCGGACATCAGAAAAATCACAATTAAGTGTTGAGACTTTGAAAGCCATTTTATGTGTGAAATATAATTTAACAAATTCTTGTGAAAAAAAATATGATCTTTCGAATAAAGACAGCAATCTACTAAACAAAATTCACTCAAATGAGAAATATGCCAAAGAATAAAATAATACTATACGTAATTTTTGTAATGTATTTGTAAATTGTACTTGTGTTGAAATTTTGAAAATATATAACAATACTATTTTTTGTTCTATGAAAATTTGTGTTGCTCTGTATAGACTAAATGTTTAAACATCCCCCCAGTCAATGGTGCCCCGCTTTACCAATGTTAAAATCTGGTCACCTTACCCTAGAGGTTATTGCTGAGTTGCATTAGTAACATTAATGATGCCAGCTTACATAAGATTAACCTTTTAACTGTCATGCCCAAAATAATCTCGGGCACAGCACAGGTATTCCAAAATGTCATGTCCGAATATAACTTGGGCTATTTATTTTAATGTATCATATTTTTATACCTGAATATATATCGTGAGAAGATTATTTCGGCTTCAATTCAACAGATGGCAGTGCTTTACTGAAGATTTCAAAGGAAAGAGGTTAAAGTTCAAAAGTGCGCAGCATTTTTTTTTTTTTTTTTTTTTTTTTTTTTTGTTATTGCTAGACAAACAATTCATTTTTGGAATAATTAAAAAACAAATGACAATTTATGCACCCAAATCATCAAAATAACTTGGCAGTTAAAGGGTTAAATAAAAGTTTGGCAAATTTTTTCTGTATTTTCCATATGAGAAGGGCTAAAATATCATAGATAGATGTTATGTTGCTGAAATGCATATATAAAGTCAGGTATATATGTTTATATACACATATATATTTATATATGTTGGATAAATATGAAAATTACGTAGGTAGCTGTTGAAACATGCCCATAATGAAGAATAATTTTGGTAGTTGAGCAGATTTAAATATTCATTTTTATTTGACATTTGAAGTTGCAAATAACTGAGCTTGTTTGACAACATTTACATTTTCCATAAGTTTGTGGTAAGAAGAAAAACAACAGGCAGCATATTAGCTAGGCTGAGGAGCAGAAGAGAAATTGTGGTATTTAACATGAAATTGTAATTCAGAGATAGGTTAGTTTCGATTTTGTTATCAATTTGATTGGAATTAGTAAAGCTCTAAAATTGTTATTGGCTTATAAGTTTGTTTCATCAGAGCATTTTGGAAAAGTCATATGATATGGATTATTCTAGGAATGATGCAGTTCAGAGTACGTTTATTGTAAGTGATTATCATTTTTAGAACAGAAAGAGGAAGCACCCAAATTAAATGGAAGAATTAAGGATATTGCAACTTTAAGTTATGACATTGATTTACATATTTTTTTATCTTGCATATGTATATAAACTTAAATAATTTAAATTAATGGAAATATTAAATTTAAAAACTAAAACCCAAATTATGCAGTTGTAAGCTGCATTAAGTCATTGGTAATAATTATTAAAATCAAAACATAACAAATTCATACATCATAATCAATTTGAAATAATAATTTGGCACAAAAATAGAAAAATCGCTAACGCAAACAACTACTATAAAAATGGACAAAACTGATATTACAGCTGTTAAAAATTTTTCAGACAAACCAATGTTGTGGGAAAAAAAAAATTGTCCAATGTATTTATAACTTCATACAATGAAAAATCTGAAAAAGTAAAAGCAAGTGGGTTTTATATCTAACTGTGCATCTTCATCAGGGGTTAGTGTATTGCAAATTGTAAAAGAGAAAGCCTGTTTCTGAACTGACAAATGCACATATATACAGAATTAGGCTTAAATCAAAAAAAATATAAATTAAATTTATATGTGCATTTATCACTACTACACTCTATTCCAATCGCTACTGGCTGGAATAAAAAAAAAAGCTTTTTCCCCAAATTTAATGAGATACATTCCGATGACCTCAAAGATCACTTGACTTATGCATAGCTTTTGTAAAGAAACAATGCAGAGATCATGTGACTTATGTACAGCTAATGCAAACAAGCAAGGTCGTTCACTTCAGAGTGAATGCCTTGCTTCCTGCCACTTCAGAGGCCACCTTAATGCTCCATTTCAGTATTAATATTCCATAACAAAATCTGTTTATTTTGGTCCCCTTCTGCCTTTTTATGAGATATTCTGCATTTTTATGAGATATTTTTTAACCATCTTGAATGTACATTTATATATATATTGTATACAATATATATGATATTCTTAAGGCATTCTACAGTATGTATGTATATATATATATATTATATACACACACATACTGTAAGCCTTAAGAATACCTTCCATATTTTCTGATGATTTTGTTTTTCCATGCAAGTACACTTCTTAAAGAATAGGATTATCAGTAATGTTTAGTTCATTATTAAACTGCATTCAAAAGAATCTAGTCACTTTCAAGAGTATTTATTATGGAAAATTTCTCAGAACTTTCTGATGTAGATGCGTCATTAAGATATTCATATTGAAGATAATTTTCATCCATACCAAACATAGACTAGGGTAGTAATGCATTAAAAGAGGCCACCATGAACATGCATTGACTAACAAACTATCTTTCAACCTAAATCTGATGAAATGTTTTTGGAATATTCTGAAGAGTGCTGTTACCCTGAACTGAGAAAGAAATAGTAGCTGTTTTTATACTCGTAAGGCCTGTTTCCACTGCTGCGTGTGTGTTGCGGTGCATATGCGTTTCTCCAATTAGTGAGCGAATTCACTTTGATTGACATCTGCAATCCGGTCGATGTGTGGTGACGGATGATGACGGATGGAGTTCAACTTCTATCCGTATGTCTGCGGATGCGTTGGGGTTACGTAGTAAAAAAGGAGCAATCAGGTGTAGTCACCAAAAATTAATCGTGGCAGAAGTAGCGATGAGCGCTCGCTTAGGGAAAGAATGTTTTGCTAAAAAATACTTATTTCTGAATTAACATTATAGCAAGAAATCTGCGTGCTGAAAAAGTCAGCAATCAGCTGAATTTAGTTAAAAAAAGATAAGAAAAATAAAGTAACTGCAACTACAGTACTTGTTCGCAGATAAAATCAGGCATTCAAGAAAAATCAGCAGCAAAAATTATAATTTCAAGTCCATGAAATAACAAAATTTGTCCTGACAATTATTTTCTAGTTCTGCATACACATTTACCTTTAATGAAAATGAATGTCTGACTATAGCAAATCAGATATAGCATTAAAAGATTTGTTATTTTTTTCTTTTGAAACAGGTAAAAACTAAAAGCGTTAATTATAAATTAAATCTAATAGCTTTTTAAATATTCCACTGCATTAAAGAGTATGTTAAATTTGTATTTCTCTATTTGTAAATATATCTTTTTGGCTAACATATTATTTGTAAGCACATGAAATATATTTTTAGCAGCCTGTTTTAACTTCAATCGGAATGCCACTTTAAAAGATAATGTTTTTTGTAAAAAATGTACTAGAAGGTGCAGAACAAACTCTGGTGAATTTTTTAGATGATAGCACACCGAAATAGAACCAAAAATTTTAGTTTTAAGAATTGATTTACTTGATGATGTATAGAAGTCAAAATATGCATATCATTTCCGTGTGATGTTAGCTTAGTGGTAAAGCTGACGTTAACAAAAATTAAATTTTGGGATCGTGAGTTTGAATCTCTTACGCTTTTTCCACCCTGTCTGCAACTTTCTTAGCTTTTTGTTCCAATTTGATCTATATTCGTGTTTTATAATTTATTTCTATTATTATATGCATTAAATATATTGTTTTATTTATGCTCTTATTTATTTAAATTTTCCCCGTAAAAAATTTTGAAAATTATATAATACGAATTTAAAGCATACACTTTACTACATATATATTTGAATTTAACAAACATTCTCTATTCGTAAAAAGGAAATTTAAAGTTAATTAAATTTAAATGAAATTTAATGCAAACAAAGAAATGATTAATTATTGCTGCGAACTAATCTACAATACCATTTAAATTCTGAGAGCATATGTAAATCAAGTGCAAGTATCAGAATCCATGAATAAATATATATAATTCCAAAAATTTATTTATCCTATTATTCACTTATGCGTTTTATAAATTTTTTAAAATTTATAAAAAAAATTATAAAAATGCATAAGTGAATAATAGGATTAATCCTGAAAATTTATATCGTATAAAGGGAAAAAGCTTATTTTTATAACTTCTTCTATAAAAAGAGATATGAATTAAAAATTTTTAAATAAAAAATAATATTTTATGGACTATGCATAAAATATAACTGCCCATAGTGCATTTTAAAACAAACGAGATTTCTAATAAATTATCCAGCTATGACCCTGAAGTCGGCGGTATACAAGCATAGCAAGTTTTGTGTAAAGATTGTGAACCTTTCTTTACAGTTGCTCTGTATTTTTAAAGTACTAACTATTTTTTAATTCGTTTAACTTTTTTATTTTATTTATTTGTTTATTTTTTCACTAACAGTACATTTTAGCTTTAATAATATATATATTATTTCATTAATATTTAAGGCTTCTAGAAATGCAAAGAAATTATTAAAATTTACTTCAGCTTCTCTGCAATTAGTGATGTTCATAATATGCATTATAACCTTACTTACCTAAAAATTGCTAGCACACTTTACTATACTATACTTTCGCAGTTCATAAGCAGAAATAAAATTTTCCAATAGCATGTAATTTAGTAAACAAAACTTTTCTGCGTTTTACGTCAGTATCCGTATCAAATCCAAAACAAACAATGCTCACTTAAGCTAGAAGAATTCGGATGTTTAGCATCGAAACTGGCGAACTGCTTGTTTGGCACCAAAATATTACAGTGATACCTAGCGGCGGAAAATGAAAATAATCTACGGATACGCGACAGTGGAAGCGCTTGTACGGATGCTGTAGGCGTGTCTTCAATTCAGGCAACACGTTCGTACGCAGTAGTGGAAACGGGCCTTTAAGATGATCAGTAATACTAGCAACATGGAGAACATCGTGATTGAGCTTGCCTAGCTATATGGAGTACTGAAGTCCTTTGTTTAACTTGTGCATTCTGGATGTCATTTTAAGACAATTTATTGTTTGTACTAATTTTTCTGCTGAAAAATGTTAATGGTGAAAATATTTTTATGTGATTCTAAGACTAGTTATGTAATTTATTTTTACCAAATTTTACCTGAATCTATCGTATAGCGTTTTGTCCATCATGATTTATTTGGGGTTTTCTGTAATTTTAAAGAAATTAAGACTACTCTAGAGTTAAACTTTGCTTACATTTGGAATATAATTTTAAATTTTGTAAAATTATTTTGTTGTATACAGTAATAAAAGTATGTTTCTATATTTTTGCATAAAACTATAAGTGCAATAATCTAAAATAAAATGAGTAGTTAACTAATTCTGAAAATTTTTATTTATAATTTTAGGTGAGAAAGGTGGACTTGTTACTGTTGGTGTTTACCTAGAAGCTTGCAAAAGCATTTGTAATCAGAAAACATTAAGTGATCCCTTTCTGTGCCTTGACTGCAGCTATATTACTGCTCTTCTACATCATGGTCTTGGATTTAATAAGAATAAAGAAATAATGGTTTGTATTAAATTAAGGATACATTATTAATGCTTGGAAATATCCATATTTTGTACATGCATAAAAGAGCCAGAGGCATTCACAACATGTTTGTGAAAATTAAATTTGAGAGTTTACCTCTGTCACTATAAGTTTGAACATAAAATTGTCTGCCTACAACTTAGAGTCAGTTGGTTTCTGTGAGGAGGTATTCTCACTTTACTAAAAAGACATGTATGTTCTGGACACTTTTCTTAAAATTGTTTATGTGCTTTGCATATAGTCTCATCCCATCTTCATGTGTACTCTGTTCAATCTAAATAATGTCTAGGTTAATGTATTAGGGCATTTAAATGTGACGCAAACTGATGGGCCTTTTTGTGCAATTTTTCCTATGGTACTGTAAATGACCTTGATTTGTTTTGCTGATTGTGGCAAAGCACATAAGGACCGTTATCCTAGGGAAGAGGTGTCGTTTTGGAGGACTTTTAAAGGAAAACCAACTCCTTTTCATGTTACACATAGGAACAAACACGAAAATGTCAATGTGGGCCATTTATTTATAGTATGAAATTAGGTCAAAACTTCCAGTGCTAAGTAGCCTTATTCAGCCAGCCACTGCTGAGCTTGTAAATGACTATAATTATTCCAGCTGGTATGTGTTTACCTATGTGCAATAAGAGTTCAGTATTATCAGTCATGCTCATGAGAATAATATGAATGGGTAAGAAGGGCCTTGATGTCTCTGGAATAAAGGATTATCAAGTTTTTACTGGGGGGAAGGCAACTGAAGCTGCTAGATTTTGACTGCGATAGATTTTGCAAACAACATAGGGAATAATATCTGTCATATATGCTAATGAGATTTAGTGCTGCATCCTTGATATTGATCATATTTAGCCCCTGAAGCTCTTTAGCATTATCACAGTATTTTACAAAAGGATGCACATCCAACCAAACATGTTCCCTTAAGAAAGGAATAATAACATGAAATAATAACATGTCTTGCAAATATGTAACTATTTCATTTTTTCAATCATTCCATTCATCCAGGTCATATTTAAATGCCCTAGTATTTGTACAGTACTTAAGTAATTTTAAATTGTGTTGTCCTAGTATTTGTGCAGTACTTAATTTTAAATTGTATTAAATATAATATAGTAATTGTTAAGATTTAGAGAGGAAAAACAAAAGGTATATGCAGTTTATTTGAAGTTGACATTGAAAGGTTTTAGATCTAACAGCGTGAACCAAACCTGGGTGATATTACATCAACTATTTTATAAGCAGGAGGTTATAACAAGTACCCTTGCAAAAGAACTGAACCATAGATTTGCATTTTTATGGATTCTTTTGATATGTTAGCAGAAAATAGAGTTCATATGAGAGCACTTTTGAGTGAAGATTATGTATGGTTTTAGGCAGGTCTGTTGCCCCAGGTTAAATTATAAACAATTCCAACTTGTATTTCAGATAGAAACCCATGTTGTGCTACTGTTTTTAATTGATTTGATGAGTTTCATCATGAATAACAGAAGCTAAGTCATAAACAAATGTTGGCTGTCCTCTGATTGTTACAGCACAGGAAAACATGAACAGGGTATATCATTTAGTTAAACAGAACAAACAGATGTATGTAGAAATTCTTGTATTCTTGGACATTGATTTGAAGTAAGTTAAAATCGTTTTGCATGGTCATCTGACTATTTGTAATGTATGAATCCCTTACAAACTAGCAATGGTGCAAAACTGGACCCAAGTTGATTTGTGCATGGAATTGCCTGAAAAATTTCTTTAGGAGTAAATTTGTGCATGGAATTGCCTGAAAAATTTCTTTAGGAGTTTCTTTAGGAGTCTTAGTCCATGGTATATGATATTTTAACATGTGTCAGAACTTTTGTGTACTGTTAATGATAGCTCTGGAGCAAGTGGCAGTTAATGCAATGCTTCCAGATGAATGGCCTCCAACAAAAGTCGAGAACAATCTTGACAAATTATTTGTCATGTTCTTTTATCACAGAGACCAAGTTATTAGAGTACTTTTAGAGGAGTATCGTATCAGCAAACGCTGCTAAATAGTATGTAAGTGTTTCTTTTATAGTAGTTATACAAAAAATCACAAAGTCAAATAATTCTCTACTCTGACAGTACCAGAGGAACACCACAAAATATGCAGTAGAGTTTTTGAGCCTCGGGCATCAATGAAAAAATTAATTTAGTTTACAGCCTACACTGCTAATTATGATTTTGTATTCTATAAAATTAAGGACCAGATGTGTAAACTTCATTTCCTGTATTCAACATTGCAGTGTTTTTATTGTAAATATACCTTCTGATAGCAGGAACTAATGTTTTCAGGAATAATTTCAATAGATGATAAAAGTTTATCAACATTAATGAAGCATATTTAAAAAAAAATATAGTGTCCACTTTTCGAGTCTATTGTGAGTCAAATTTGTTTATCTGAAACCATCCAGCGTTACCTATGTATGCATTCAAGACAGAAACAGTTAAAATAAATTTAAAGCCTTTTGTAATAATCTAAAAGCTGAATTATTTTGACTGAAATGGGCTGATATAATACATAAAATTCCACAAAATATGAAACTTATATCAATAAAACTTAACATTAATTTAATCTGGAAAAAAATTCAAAAATTATATTTAACGAATAAAATGAAATAAGCTGCATGCATATTGGCATAATTGGTATTTTAAAATTGTCTATGATCAAAACTGTATTATTTAAAACTGCTTGAGATGTAGAACTGTTATAGTGCTTAGTAATTTTATCTCTGTGACATAAGTATAATAAGACTAGTATAAGTATAGTAAGTAAGAAAAAGTGAATTACAAAATTGTAGAGTATCATTAATTTAGTACAAAAAAATTCCTCATGGATATGAATGGTAAGAACAGAATGTTTTAAATGCACATTTATTTGTTCTTGATTTTCTACATTGTGATGTGATCTTAGGAGGGGGGACTAGTTATCACAAGATACCTTTATTTTCGATGTTCAAACATCTCTCTGTCAGCTGCAATGCACATCTGGACCTTTGTTAGAACTTCATGTTGCACATGTTGTAGCATAGTGGGTGACATGTTTACACAAGCATCTGTAATACATCATTGAAGATCCTGCGATGTTTGTAAGAGTGTTCGCATACATCTGCTGTTCGAGGTATCCACACAAGTCTACCGGAGTCAGATCAGGTGAACATGGAAGCCCCTTTTTGAAATCACTGTAGCTGATTATTCATTCTCTGAATTCCTCCATCAGGTACTGCTTTGCAGATGATGTTTTTTGCACAGGCGCCCCATCATGTTAGAGTTATCCATTCATGATAATACTAATCCAGTTGAAGTAATGGCAGGTTCTCAACAAATTCGTGTGTTACATCTTCCAGAAGTTGTAAATATGATGCGGCCATTAACATATCCTAATAAAATATTGCATTTATTAGCCTGTTATTGTAAATTCCACACTAAACATTAATCAAAAACTATATTTAATATAGAATGTCGACAGAATATGATAGATTTTACATGTTGGATATGATGTATTTTCACTAATGAGTGTTCTTCCTGTTGTACATTTTTGTACATTTGATTCTGTAAAAAGCTTGCATCATCTGTCCACATTATATCTGCCAAGAATCTTGGCTGGATGTCTGTCTGGTTCATGATGAAGTTTCAGTATGTCTCTCAGCATCCCTCCATTAATGTCTGGTTAGGTGTTGGCCAATATGGGTGAGTGCCTAATTCATTTAAATTTACCAAATGAGACTTTTTGAGAGGCCACAGTTTTCACTTATCTCTCTTTTGTGTTGCTGTACAGATATGTGAGGGTATATGATAATGTATCCTAAGGTTTTTCTTTCCGTCCTACTTTAGCTGGTTTGCTAGATGGAAGTTGGCTAGTCATGCAGCCTCTCTCCCTAAATCGTTTCACAATCTGTAGAAAGATTTAGTGTGAAGGATGCGGGCCTGCAAGAAAAAATTGCCGATCATGCCTTGTTCCCACTTTCACCATAAAGTAGGATTATCTCACAATAATCGTTTTTTGAAAATCACTCCATGACCATGACCTTCAACATACAACCCCCGAGGAGAGCTGTCTTTTATAGTGGTCTCAAATGAACAGGTGTGTTGTTTCATACACTGTTTGCATAATGCACAAATTTCACTCGTTGCATTGAGTTGATGCATTTTGCACCATGATGGTGTATGATCTGCATGATGTTTACTCTCTATATAAAGACAATCAGTACAAGGAGGTACCGCGGGGTATCTGAACCACAGTCCTCTTGACTGTGAATTACAAATGATACCACTCTGCTGCAATGCGGGCTCGTTTTTCATCTGAAAGATAATCTTTTTTCTTTTTGTCAAAATTTTGTGAAGTCACAGTTTTGAAAACTGCAAAGAAAACAAACACACATCTCCACCATTTTGTTCTTAGCATTCATTTCACAAGGTGTCTTTCTGTAGTAAACCAATGATGCTCAATAACTTTATAATTCACTTTTTCCTCCTATCTCGCACTGTTTTTGAGATAGTAATGCTAACTCTGCTGTTTACCACGAGATGGCACTGTAAGTGGTCTTTTCTAGTAGTGCATACATAGCCAGTTTACTATACCTAGCCACCATGTTTATCACCGTAGCTGCAGCCATTCGGCAGTTAACCTCTTCATCGTCCGTAACGCGTCTAGCGCGTTCAAGTGAAACTTCCGCAGGGCGGCCGTAACGCGCCTCAAGCGTTCTTCTACAGTGAGAGATGGCTTCAACGTCTACTCAGCAGAAAGAGAAAAAATGAGGTTGTGAATTGGGGAGACAAGAAGGATATACGTTTGATGAGTACAGTCCATAATAACTTGATGATTGATGTTGGAACACGGAAAAGAACTGTAAAAAAACCAATAGTTGTAAAAGATTACTACAACAAAATGGAAGGGGTGGACCGCCTGGATCAGATGTTATCAAATTATCCTGCTGTTAGAAATAAGAAGAGATATT